TTATTATGTCCAAGACACAATTGAAATCCCTACTCCAAATTATATAGCCCATAGCGATTTCTTTCTACTCGTTCAAGAATTTGTGAAATTTGTGACATTGGGCAGGTAAACATTTACCAAGGTATATAATTCGTTATTACTTATGCACACTAGAATTAAAAACCTTCCTTCTATATCGCTATCATGATGTTTTATTTCTACTTGTGTTTTGCAAACGGTTACTCCTGCTATTGTGTCTTGAACGGTCTTCCAAATCACCTAATTTTGTCTCCATTTCTTTGATATTTTTTTTTGACATTTCATCATTTTGTTCTTTTAGTGATTTTTCTTGGAATTCCATAGATATTTTTTCTTCAAGTATATTTATTTAACCTGTCAGAAGTCTCATCTGACATAGAATCTCTTCAGAGTTCTGGTTGATTTGTTTCATTATGGACTTCAACTGGGACTCTAGACAACATTCTAAGAATTCCGCTATTATCTGCGTATTTGATATACTCTCAGGACTACTTGGTGCCTCTTCTAGTCTTGATGTCAAAGATACATTATCTGTCTTTTTCTTTGATTAACTTATTAGTAGGAGAGAAAAAAATTTGTGGTTTCTCTTTCAAGTTTAGGATTTTTCTTGTCACTTTTTAAAGCGATTTGATCCTGGGATCTAGAAGCCATTTTATGAATAATAAGTGTCCACACTTTATTTTTCTTGAATCTTTACTAATTTCCTTTATTGTAATTTCAGCAAGGTTCTGAATAATCAAAGGTTAGGAATTTGTTCCTCTGGTTATCACTTTAACACTATTTTTGCAGATAGGTATAGATCTTAAGATTCCTTACTTTATTCTCTCTCTCTTTCTTTCTCCACTAATCTATTGATTAACCACCCTGGTTTTTATAACTAAGTGCTATGCAGTAGCAAGAAAAAGAAGAATATCACATACAGACAGCTTTGTCTTTTTTAAATCCTTTCCCTGCTTCTCCTCTTTTGCTACTTCTAAATTGATCCAAATATTAAACAGCTTGTTTAAAATGTTTGAAGAATATGTTTATCCTATGCATTAATTCATAGATCTTACAACTAATAGAGCAAGGAAGCCAAAAAACAAAAAGTAATAAGCAGCAGGTTTTGATCCAGCTAAATAACAGAGAGAAGAAAAAAAAAAAAAAAGGGAATATTCCAGCTATCCGTGCACTTACCTCCTCGGGTGGGATCGTCCTCCACCCTCTGCATTATCAGCACTACTGGCTCAACTGGCTCTCCCTCTCCACCTATCCTACACCAGCCACTTCGTCCTCCGACACTAATGCCGCTCAGCTCCTCGATCTGTCGTCGCTGCTCACCGGCTCCAAACCGACCAAAAACTATTGCTGCTGACCTCGACCACGCCACGGCCCGCCATAACGATCACTCTCCGACTCCGCCCTACGGTACGTGCCTCCATACCTACGTCATCCCTCCCCCCCAGCCTGCTGTTTGGGGTTTAAATGTGTGTATAAATTGTAAGTCCTGACCTACTTTACCCCTTCATGAAATTTTGGCTCATGTTTGGGGGATTGGATAACCACACCCTGTTCCAAATTATAATGCAAATTCTATTTAAGTGTCACAAAGATTAAATATTTTGTTTTTCAGTTTTTTTGTTTTTTTAAATCTTTATTTTTGTGTGCATTAAGAGTACAAACATGTTGGTAATGCAACAATAGCTGGTATCAGCGTCTCATAGTGAACATACAAATGGCATAGATTAAGACTGCACAATTTTTTTTTTATAATAATCATGCTTGACTTCAGTATAAAAAATCAAAGTAGCGTAAGTGTGGGTATAAGATGAGTATACAGAGGTATATATGTGCGAGGTGAAATTAATAATCTCTTGGTGTGTGTCCAGCAGTGTTCTGAGCTATGTCAAGAGAAAAACATAGGATTGAACAACCAAAGAGAACAGAGTAAAACCTCTCCACCAAGATATGAATTCCTAGAACATGGATGCCCTGTGTGAGGGGAGACAAGGAGCTTGCTAGATTTGTCAGGCAATAAGATGTGTCATACTCAATCATGCTATAAAGCAGGTAACTGTAGGATTAATAAAAGAAGTAGAAAACAACAGAACAATAAATTCCACTGGTTAAATATATTGGGCTGTTAGTGCTGCTGGGTGAGTAGCGCATTATAGAAGAGGGAGACAACTAACGGACAGCGGGCATTATGAACTGTGAGAACAGCATTTTAACAACCCAGCCCTGCTAGCCACTGACATGTCTCCTAACCAATGCCCCTACTTGCAGCCAAAGTTCCTGGAGAGTCTGTTCCGATCTTTCCCCCACAGTCAGCCCAGGTTTCCGTTGGGGTTTGCAGTTGCAGAGCTGCAGTCCTGCACTTCCAGCAGCACAAGTTGAGGAGCTTGCGTTCAGGCCTGTCGCGCTGGAGGCGAGGGAGCAGACCCTCCCGCTGGTGAGGCGAGTGATAGCGGGAACACCCTGGTGGATGTAGTGGAGCCGCCCGTCTTAGCTGCTTTTTGCGCCATCTCCTTTTTGGCACCTTTCGGGGAGCACATGTGCGATTCTTGCGTTTGCAGCCACGAGCAGCAGGTCGGCTCCGGGGGGCCATGGATTTGTCAGCAAGGGCAGAGGTGAGTGCCCTTTTGCGGAGCTTCCTCAGGAGGGGGGTGCAAGTGCGGTCGGGCGTTCTGAGTTGCGGTTCCATGCATGTGTGCCCCAGCAGGGCAGACCCGCTCTCCCGCTGTGTATCAGGTGAGGTGAGTGTGTCAGCTCCGTGTTTCAGGCGTTCCCAGAACCTCTGGCATATCGCCTCAAATGTTGCGTTGAAGTGTTCTCTCCACTCCAGGCCCGTTTGGTGTGTTTGAGGTTTGTGCATGGTGGCCATCTTGGTCGCGCCACGCTGCTTGTACGTCTGCTGGAGCCTCCTGCTCAGTGGGATAAAATTTGCCCAGTGGGGACCGGGATATCCCCCGCCGGTCCAAGGGGTGGGGGGAGGTGTAACAGGACCCCTTATATGCTGCCACAGAGCCCGTACACTGCCCGGGAGATCGGCCGCCTCTCGCCGTTGCCCGTGTGCCAGCCCAGTAGGCCTCAAAGATGACGGTCGTGAATGCTGGTAAGCAGGGTGTCCTGTGCCAGATTTTTCAAGATGCTTGGTTCTAGATAGCCGCTTACATGCATTTCGGGTCGTCTGGTGTCAGAATGTCAGCTTTGGTCATTGATTTATGGCACCATGTACCAGGAGCTAGTGGAAAGCACGTCTGGCCATCTTGGATGTCAGGCCCCGCCCCCCTTGTTTTTCAGTTTAACTCATGGATGGCATTGTGTATCAGGGCTCTTTTGATCACTGAAAACAATCTCGGACACCTGTGATAATTAGACTGCCAGGTGAGCCCAATTTAAGGAAAAACTACTAAAGGAGGGTGTTCCACATTATTAAGCAGCGCACCATTTTCATGCAATATGGGGGGAAAAAAAGGATCTCTCTGTTGCCGCAAAGAGTGAAATAGTTCAATGCCTTGGACGAGGTATGAAAACATTCGATATTTCACGAAAACTTAAGCGTGATCATCGCACTATTAAGAGATTTGTGGCTGATTCAGAGCAGAGACGGGTTTGTGCAGATAAAGGCACATTAAGGAGGATTACTGACAGATTTATGCATTGGATCAAGAGAGCAGCTGCTAAAATACCATTACATAGCAGCAAACAGATATTTGAAGCTGCTGGTGCCTCTGGAGTCACACGGACATCGAGGTGTAGAGTCCTCCAGAGTCTTGCAAATGTGCATAAACCTTCTATTCAGCCACCACTAACCAATGCTCACAAGCAGAAATGGCTGCATTGGGCAGAATTATTAATGAAGACTAATTTTCAAACAGTCCTGTTCACTGATGAGTGCCGTGCAACTCTGGATGGTCCAGATGGATGGAGTAGTGGATGGTTGGTGGACGGCCACCCTGTTCCAACAAGGCTGCGACGTCAGCAAGGCGGTGGTGGAGTCATGTTTTGGGCTGGAATCATGGGAAGAGAGCTGGTTCGGCCCCTCTAGGGTCCCCGAAGGTGTAAAGATGACCTCTGCAAAGTATGTGGAGTTTCTGACTGACCACTTTCTTCCCTGGTACAGAAGGAAGAACTATGCTTTCTGTAATAAAATGATCTTCATGAATGACAATGCACCATCTCAAGCTGCATAGAATACCTCTGCATCAATGGCGACTATGGGGATAAAGAGGAGAAAGTCATGGTGTGGCCTCCATCCTATTGAGAACCTTTGGAGAATCCTCAAGCAAAGGATCTATGAGGGTGGGAGGCAGTTTACATCCAAACAGCAGCTCTGGGAGGCTATTCTGACATCTTGCAAAAAATTCAAGCAGAAACTGTCCATAAACTCACAAGTTCAATGGATGCAAGACTTGTAAAGCTGATATCAAATAAGGGGTCCTATGTTAAAATGTAACGTGACCTGTTAAAATTTTTAAAAAGTTGAAATGTTGTTGTAAGCTTGATTGAAATAGCTTTTGATTTCAGTAAATATGCATCAAACACAAGAAATTACAATTTTCAGTTCTTTACAACCTATAAAGTATTTTTAAATTTACTGTGCATCATAATTTGGAACAGTGCATTGTAAGTTTTTTTTTTTTGTATATATGATGTTTATTTAGGTTTGCATTGTCGAAAGCAAATCACATTGAGACTCGCAGGTCTCCATAGGCATTTTGGGTATAATAACCAAAGCACAACATGTGTGAAAAAGTGTTTTGAAGAAGAACAGTCATTCGGGCACACAGGTCCACATTAGCGATGGACTCGCAGGTCCCTTTCAGCATATAGATATTTTGTTTCCTAAACTTGTTTTTTATTCGTTCGATTACATTGTTAACCGTGGATTTTTGCCTTCGCCTAACAATACTTTGTTGCACTCAGGTCACTATTTTCGTTGTACTGTAATTAAACATTTGTTGTCTAAATTATGGGACACGCAGGTCCTTCCAAGATGCGTCATTGTTGGTCAGTATCGAACATAGCATATTGGTGTTACCATATAGAGAAATCTTTAAAACAACCAGAATTAAGACTAGGGGTTACCCCCGTGGGTATGTGTTGATCTGACAGGATGCTTGATAAACTCTCCTTAATGTGTGTGGGTGGTTGGAGAACATGGTGTGAGTGTAAAAAATTAGGGGGTATCAATTGGGTTGTTTCCCATTTACCCCTATCGTTCTTCTGACTGTCCCATTCTAGAGTTTTCCATAATCACACCTCCCTTGTGACCTTGGCCTTGTTATCTTTAGTCTCCGTGGGTGTGTTGTATTGAGGGCTTGTCGACCCCTGTTTAGGGTGGTTCCATCCTAACGAGAGCCTTTCCTAATTTTGCGGCATGGTACTATCGTTCAGGGTTGTGTAGTCATCTTCGCTACGTGTTTTTTTCTTTCCTCCCCCGTTTGTTCCCCCCTTTCATCTGTCACAATATGGACCCCGATGGGCGGGTCGCATGTTTTCTCGTGATCGTATTCTCGATATTTGCGGCTATATGCAGTGATTTTCAACCTAGGCTGTGTTTGCCCCTAGTTTGTTTGTTCGGTGTGTGTCATCGGTGGGAGTCTGTATTAAGTAGGGTCCATGGTATGTCTTGGGGTGGATATGTGTTCGTGCGGTCAAGTGTGTGGAATTGTATTTGCCTACTCCACGTGGTAGTGTCTTCTCTGTTCCACCCTCCGGGTCTGTGGGTTTGTTCCTTACCTCCCCCACCCCAGCAGGCAAGTGTGTCTGATTTCCTGTCTAGTGCCTCTCACTCATGTATTTCTATTTCTTGCTAGTCTGTGGTGCTGGGTTGTCCCCAAACAGGTTCCTGGATTGCTCCTCCCACTTATGTGTGGTGTTTCACCTGGGGTCTATGAAGTGTGACGGTAGATGTATAGTGGGATATGTGCAAAAGGGGGGGTGGGGCAGAGCAGCATATCACCCGACGCGCCCGGGCTTCCATCTCCATGCCTCCCATTTGCTTCCTCCGTATTCAATCGTTATTTACGTTTCGTGAGATGTATACATACCATGGTCGCCACTGCTGCATGTGTGCTCCCCCAGGCCCTACAGATCCACAATTGTGGATTCCGCCCTTTGTATTGCTTCAACTTTGTGCCTCCACTGCCGGAGGGTTAGTCGCTTTCCATAGTAGTGCTTTTGCTGCATTGAGCAAGTGTCTCAATATTGACCTCTTGTATACTGAGAGCGGTTCTTCTGTGTGGTGGATTAAAACTAATTCTACAGTCAGGTGTGTGGGTTCACCAAGGATGTTCCTTATTTTCCTCTCAATGCCTTCCCAGTATGGTTTAATGTTTCTGCAGTCCCACCATATGTGTCAGAGTTCCTCGGCCGTCTTCACATCTCCAGCAGGTATCCGGTATCATCGTGTTAATCCGGTGGAGCAGGAATGGCGTGCGGTGCCAGTGGGAGATCAATTTGTAGTTCACTTCCTGGTAGTGAGAGCTGGAGGAGCTTTTTTGCTGTAGCACTAGTACTTTCTCCCATTGGGCGTCCGTGAAGGTCCGTTCAGAAAGTTCTTCCCATTGCCTTTTGTACATGTCCTTCTTGTCCCTTTCTCCGGTGATCAGACGGTATATAACTGAAACCGTGCCCTCCACCTCCGGTGTGTGGAAGCAAAGCGTTTCGTACCAGGTTAGGTCCCTGTGCAGTTTGGTCCTGTGTGGAAGGTTATGGTAGTAATGTTTCAATTGGGCGTAGTGGAATTGCTGCATTAATGTGGATGTCCCTCCATCTGTTAGGTCCCTCAGTCTCTTTATGCCCGATTCCGTCATCACCGTGTGTATGGTTATGTATCCGTCCTGATTTGTCATTTGCCATGCAGATGAGGGGAGCCCGTCTCCTAGGTCTGTGTTGTGGGTTATGGGGATCAATGGGCTTGGCTTCAGAGAGATGTACGGCGCCTTTCTCACCCTATTCCAAGTGTTGAGTGTCTGTGCGATGGGGGAGTCTTTCCCGAGGTCCTTCATGGCGTCCGATTCCTTGTGCCAAATAAATGAGTGTAGGCGGTTGTCTGTGATGTCTCTGTTCAGGGAGACCAACCGTTTGTGGGGTGCGTCCGTGTGTATTTCCCTGAGATGTTGCAGGACAGTCGCTTGATAGTATTTGCCGAAATCCGGTAGCGCAAGTCCACCCCATGTTCTTGGTAGGCATAGTTTTTCGTGGCTAATCCTGGCTCTCTCCCCCTTCCATATGTACCGAAGGATCACTGACCTGAGCATTTTGAAGAAGGCTTGTGGAAGTATCCGAGGTATGATATGGAACAGATACAGTACCCTGGGCAGAACATTCATCTTTACAGCCGCTATACGTCCCTGCCACGAAATGTGGTCGTAGTTCCATTTCTTGAGATCTCCCAGGATGTTGGCCAGGAGGGGTACGTAGTTATGCGTGTATAGGTCTTTCGCCTCGGGTTTAATCCATATCCCTAAGTATTTAATTTGTTCCGTACACCATTGGAAGGGGAACCTTTGTTTCAATCGCACGTATTCCATCTCTGGTACCGCGATGTTCAGAGCGTCGCATTTTGATAAGTTTAGCTTTAGTCTAGATACGTTTCCGTATATTTGAAATTCTTCCATTAGCGGTGGTATGGTTTCGAGCGGGTTGCCGAGAAAAAAAAAACAACATATCAGCATATGCTGCTACTTTATGTTCCTGTGTTTTGTGTTTTAGTCCTGTTATCGCTGGTGTTTTTCGAACTCAGTCCAGGAATGGTTCCAAGGTGGGTGCAAATAAGAGCGGCGATAGCGGACAGCCTTGTCTGGTGCCATTTTGGATGTCGAAACTGTCGGTTAGTGCTCCATTTACTCTGACTCTAGCATTCGGCTGCTGGTAGAGTGTTGTGATCCAGGTCAACATCCCGTCCCCATATACCGACTCTTCTCAATGTCTTTTTTTTATGAACAGCCAGTCCACCCTATCGAATGCTTTTTCTGCATCCGTGGAGAGCAGAAGTAGCTTTTTCTTCAGGTGTTTTGCTAGGTGTTTGATCGTGAAAAGTCGGAGCGTACGGTCCCTGGCTTCCCTGCCTGGTATGAACCCTGTTTGGTCCGGGTGTACCAATCTGGGCATTTAGGTTTGCAGTCTGAACGCCAGAATCTTGGAGAGGATTTTAACATCCGTGTTGATGAGAGAGATTAGTCGGTAATTCCTCACTTCTGTGTTCTTGCCTGGTTTTGGAATTACTGTGTTTGTCGCGGCCAATGATTCTCTGTGGAAGGTTGCACCTTCCCGCAGGCCGTTCAATGCCTTTGTGTCAGGGTCTTACCTGGGTTGGGAGTCTGTAGCGCAGATATGTTGCTCACCCTTGCAAATAGCCACAGGCCAAGGTGGTCAGGTAAGAATTCACCTGGCCTGTGGGTCTGTGCACGGGGACTGTGCAGAATGAAGTTCCAAGTCGCAGTGCAGGCAAGGACTCAAACAGCAGGATTGTCAAGGGATAGCCGAGGTCAAAGGATGCCAGAGGGCAAGAACAAAGAGGAGTAGCCGAAGTCAAGGGATGCCAGAGGTCAGAGTGAACAATGTCAGAATCCGGGGTCAATATGAAGCAGAGTAACAACAGACAGGAACACTGGTACGGAACACACACACACACACACACACACAATAGGATCAAAGACTTGATCCAGATCACAGGGCGAGGCGGAGTTTATATAACCTGCTGATATCTGATCAGGATCAGGTGAAGCACGGCTATCGACAAGGGCCATCCCCCAGTGCTGCAGACAAGCCAGGATCAATAGAACTGAAATAGCTAGTAAGAAACAAAGCTACTGTGGCTCAGAGGTAGGAAGCAGGACCAGAACTGCCAAGTACCCAGGTTTGAATCCTGACAGTACCCCCTCCTCAAAGCCGCTTTTGGGCAAGAAAAGAAAAGCCGCCCAGGAAGTCACTTTTTAGATTTCTCTGGTTTTGCCAGCAGGTGCGGAGGGCATAGCTTGTAGTGCCCTTTCAAAAATGTGTAAGTCCTCATTACAGACTAGAGTCCCATTCGAGGCGTAGGTACAGCCAGGAGGAGGATCTTTCTCCACCTAACAAGGAGCAGATGTTTCAGGAACTACTGGAGAGAGGTTAAGATCGGTCAAGGATTCAGTGCGAGCGGTAAGTACATTGATCTCCGGAGTCTTATTCTCTGTACCAGGTAACTCCTCTTTAGGTTGACATGAAGTGGTGATGGTACCAACTCTAACATGAATATTTTCCGGCGGAGGTTCAGATCTCTCAGGGGTACTGGATAGGTTATTCATTACAGTCTGAGTACTCTTCTGTATTACAGAACAGGGACATGGCTGGCAGCAACCGTGGCAGCTTCTAGACTATCTCTGAGTTGACTGGATAAGTCCGTAGGGCACCCAATAGAAGAGGTCTTTGCCTAGGTGGACGAATTGGGCAGAGAGATGAAATGCCCTCTTTCTCCACAATAGAAACATAGACCATGGCCTCTCCTCTGGTCTTTTCCTCATGGGTCACTTTGCAGTGGACGAGTCCTATTTGCATAGGTTCCTCAGGGACAATAGGAAAACAGGATACCTCTGGTGGTCTCCTAGGAATAGAATCATAAGGAGGCAACACTGGGGTGCAGCGTTGGTACTGGGTTTCTTGGTTTCTAAGAATCGGGGGTCTTTTGGTACATAGAACAGGCTTTGACACAGTGGTCTTGCACTGCGAGTCCATAGCAGTAGTGAAGGATTCCTAGCTGACAAGGACAGGACTCTTCGTCATCAATCTTTGGTGAGCCCATTCTTTGATGCGTCCAGACAACAGGTTGATAGCCGCTCGGACCTTGATGAAATCTGTGACATACGTTCGAGGCTTTAAAGAAAACAACACCTCGCAATCCATCTTGAAGGACTGAAAGGACGTGCGGCTACCATCAAATCGATCGGCATGATGACAAACAGTTCAGGATAAGCAGGTTCCGGGGCAGGGTGTACAGCGCCTTTATGAAAAAAAAATTCTCGCTGCAGCTCTGAAACAGTCTGGGCGAGGCTGGACACTTGCTGGAACAGGAGTGAGCTCATCTCTGCGGACTCCATATTGATCAAGTCTTATGTCAGGGTCTTACCTGTGTTGGGAGTCTGTAGCGCAGATATGTTGCTCACCCTTGCAAATAGCCACAGGCTAAGGTGGTCAGGTAAGAATTCACCTGGCCTGTGGGTCTGTGCAGAATGAAGTTCCAAGTCGCAGTGCAGGCAAGGACTCAAACAGCAGGATTGTCAAGGGATAGCCGAGGTCAAAGGATGCCAGAGGACAGGAACAACGAGGAATAGCCGAAGTCAAGGGATGCCAGGAGGTCAGAGTAAATTATCTCACAAGCCGGGGTCAATATGATGCAGAGTAACAATAGACAACAATACTGGTACGGAACACACACAACAGGATCAAAGACTTGATCCAGATCACAGGGCGAGGCGGAGTTTATATACCCTGCTGATATCTGATCAGGATCAGGTGAAGCACGGCTATCGACAAGGGCCATCCTGCAGACAAGCCAGGATCAATAGAACTGAAATAGCTAGTAAGAAACAAAGCTACTGTGGCTCAGAGGTAGGAATCAGGACCAGAACTGCCAAGTACCCAGGTTTGAATCCTGACACTTTGCCAGTCGTGATATGAGTTCCTCACCGAATTTCTTGTAGTATTCTTATCATTAGGTTTGTTCAATAAAATTTGAATTGTACTCTTAATAGTTGGTAACATGAGAATTATACTGACTTATTTACATCACTTATTTAGGTAAATAAGAAAAATATAATTTGCATAATAATTTGGAACAGGGTGTACACACTTGGGGATTGCTATAATCACAATACTCCCCTGAGTATAAGCACTAAGCTCTTGTAAGAGCTTGTTCCTGCTACGCTCTCTAGAGTAGAAGAGGTCTGCCCACTGGGAGCTGGATCCTGGTCTTGGGTCCAGGGTGGGTGGAGCACAGCGAGACCCCGACGCAGCTGCATCGCTGGAAGTGGGGTCTGCAGTGCTCATGGTGTTTGGTGGAGTGCTTGGAGCCCTCAGAAAGCACTAGGAGCATCGATTGGTATCCGGTCAGGGTGCCAGGTGGTCCGTCAAACAGGATCAGACAACAACGCTGGGGAAATACCCAAGAAACACACATCCAGAGACTCCAAGGGCGCTCCAGGCGGTAAAAGCATGCTCCAAGATCAAGCCGAATGCGAAAATGGTGGAGATGCCTGGACTGTCGCACCACAACAGAAGCAAAGCACAAATACCCAACAGCTCAGCTCAAACCCACTCTACCTCGAGCGACTGGGAGGCTTTTGAGGCTCCAGTTGGGTATACCTTCACTCTCCACCACGGAGCCACTGCAGTTTAAATATAGGGCCTTGCGTCTGCTGACTGTCCCACTGCATCGTCAGTTATACCCCAAAGTGACGTTGGTTGACCAGAAACTGGACTCTTGCCGGCTGGCACTAACTTCCTCCTACAACCACCACAAGGCTTGATTTTTGTCTATACTCCTCTAGTTTCCCACTTAATGTTGCATATATATTGCCCAACGTTTATTTAGATGTCATGCTTGTTGCGCATGTGACCTGATAACTTAAACAGGGGCCGCTTTGTGTCACAGACATACTTATGGAGTACTAGCATTATGATGTATAATGCTTTGACACTTATACCACTAACTGTTCTATTATGATTATTACTAAAAATGTGCAGCACATTGCAATGGCACACTGAAGTATTATAATGCCTGTTAATAAGCTTGTTCATGCTGCTGTGGCTATACAAGCTCATCTGTTCTTATGTGCACAACACAAATAAAGAATGATATATAAAAAAATAAATTGTTTAGATTCCATACCAAAGAGTCAATTGACCCGTATTAGAAGAAATTGCTCAAAGGATCAAGATTACCAACACCAGAAAATTGGAAGTTTAAATAGAAAAGATCTAATAAGGAAGAAAAAGAAAGACAGAGCACAACAACAATGATTTTACATATGCTTTTATTACACAATATAATATACAACACCATAAAAATTAGGAACATTTTAAACAAACACCTTGAATTCAGTATAGGGTAAAGTCCTCCTAGAAAAGGCACCCGTTATTTTTAGAAAAGCAAAACATTTAAAAAAAAAAAAAAAATGTTTTAATTCATGCAACAGATGCAAAGCATTAAGACACAGAGAATATTAAAAGTAAAACAATTCCGATGGGCATGTCCTGAAACTCACGGAGATCAGTCGCATATAACTTCAGCTCCGCCAAAATAAGGCCCAAATCTCACTACACACAGGACCAGTACCATGTCTCAGCCCAAAAGCAAGTTAGCTGCAGAGAAACTCGACAAAGCTAATTTCTTTGCCTCAAAAGTTCAGGGGAGAAGTACGACGCACCCGGAGCACAGCCAGAACGAGTACGAACGGGCCTGTGAATCCCCATGTCCAGAGCCCCAACTCACCAAAGACATGCTTCAGATCATGCTGGACGCTATGTCCCAGAAGATGCTTACCACACTGCAGTCCTCAATCGGAGACCTCAGAAAGAATATGCAGGAACTGGGAACGAGAAACTAAAAATTTTTTTTAAAAATCGTTATTGACAAAACAAAACTAAAACAAATTAAGCTAAAAAGTGAAAAAAAAAAAACCCTATTAAGTTTTTAAACGACAATAGTTATGTTTCCCCAACATGTGAAACCATAACAGAGATAATACCAGTCAACCTAAGGGGTGCCTGAGTTTTGTCATGCCTAGTGCAGCACAAAACAAGGATACACCACTGACTATGGGTCATATTAAATATCCTTTGCATACTGGACCGGCGCGGCGGAGCGCCTGATTCCTACTGAAACCTTAAGTTTCATCCCCCAAGGCACTGCTAGACAGAGCCAAGCCAGGTTATCTGCATTAAATAATGTTAACGTTAGGTTTATGTTGCTTAAATGTATGTTTTGTCTCTCTACGCTTCACGATGCCATGCAACTTATTTGTACCAAAGTGATGTTTTATACTGTTCCTTTCTTTTGGGCCATGTGGGGGCCCTTTTGTTTGATGTTCACACCAATACTGACAATGACAGCCTTACTGAAGCTTCTCTATGGGTGTTACACGTCAGATGACGAGTGCTAAACACATTTCATAAGGGGATCCCGTTGCCTGGCTGGAGAAAGCTGGGATGGGCAACGAGCCCTGCCAATATTATACCACACAAATGTTTATCACAACAATATTATAACCCTCCATGAGAATCTGTTCTCTGAATGTAAAATGCCTGAACGTCCCGCATAAAAGGCACATTCACCAAGGAACTTAGATCTCAGGGAGCTGATATAGCATGTCTGCAGGAGACACATACTAACGACCACTTATCCACATCAATTCCATGCAACGTCCTCAACCAAATCTAAAGGCACATCCATACTGATTAGTGCCAAGATATCCTTCTCCCTCATTACACAAGACATTGACGCTGACGGCCGTTACGTTGTTGTAGGAACTATAAACAACACCTTATACACAATAGTCAACCCATATGCCCGAACGCAAATCAACGTAATTTCCTACACAAAATACTCCAAAAAATATCTGCGATACAGCAAGGAATTACTGTCAACTGTGGTGACTTTAATCATGTTATAGACCCCAAAATGGACACCATCCTCTCACCTCACAGCGCTAGATACAGACCCCTATAACGCCAGAGCAAGGCTATACAGAAACTCCTAGCAACACATTACTATGATGTGTGGAGACTAACGCATGTATCCGAAAAATCCTACTCATTCTCACCAGTACACAATTCCTATTCCAGAATCGATAGGTTCCTCGTGCAGGGACATTACCTGGTCAGATCATGCGCCCATCACCGTAGACATGAAGAACTTATATGACTTTAAGCACTGCAGCCCATGGAGACTAAACACCTTTACTTCATGACACAATTCAGAGGCGAACTGACCACAGCTCTGCAACACTATTTCGAAGACAATACCACACTGGACACCCCACATAGCACCTTATGGTTCGCACATAAACCAGTGATCCGGGGGCTGCTCATTAGGCGGGCGTCATATTTAAAAAAGCAAGCACAAGCTAAACTACTGCAATGGCAACAAGACTTGTGTCACTTAAATATGCGAAACCAATTACATCCCATTACCACACTGAGGGACCAAATTATGCATCTCACCAGGAAAATCCACCAACACTCACTAGAACAAACTAAATTCTACCTTCAAAAACTGAAGGCCACAAGCTATACTCAGGGCAACAAAGCGAGCCGACTTTTAGCCACTAGACTAAGCGAGCAACAGGCCTTGGGAGTGGGCCTACACAGGGATGTCATGACAGCACTACGGGCCACCTTCAACTTAGACTGGAGGACAGACAACGTCCCCTTACTCGGGCTCACCAAGCGCACTATTCCAAAAGCAATTACGGAAAACTGGCGGGCGAATTAGCAGCCACACTAAAATCTTGGGAGGGGAAATTCGTGTCCTGACTAGGCCGACTAGCGGCGTTAAAAATAACACTCCTACCATAACTCAGGTCCCTTCTCCGAACCTTACAAATCACACTTCTCAAATCATATATAAACAACTTACAGAAATGTACACAATTTATCTGGGGACACCGCAGGGTCAGGGTGGCATCGACCCCACTTTACAAATCCTTAGAGGCTGGGGGGCTGGGCATGCCTAATGTACGCCTCTACTATATTGCAACAGTGATTACATCGCACGCAACAGAAAACAGACCACAGTGGGTGAACATTGAGTCCAAATGGTCCGCGCACACAGCAAATCATGTGTTGGATGCAAAAATCCCTGAGACCCACACTGCCGGAGAGACTGCCCTCCACAGAGCTCTTGCTCAAGACATGGGACACACACAGGAAGACTTCACAAACTCACTGGACCTTGGCTACCCCACTCCATAGCATACACTTGGCGAATCCCTCATATGACCACAGGCAATGGGTATCTGTATGACTATGTACACACATTAGACACCTATATGAAAACGACCAACTGCTGCAATTTCCAGATCTACAAACAAGATTTAACTTACCCTCTAGACTATTGTTTTCCTATCTACAGGCGAACTCCATGTTGACCGAAGCCGGTACAGACACGACGCCAAAACAGCCGACAATTCGAACGGGCTTGCTTGGCTTCCCGCACACCCTAAAAAATACTCTCCATGACCTATAATCTACTTAACGGCCAGGGAGGAGGCACAGTGGACACGCATATTCAGACATGGCAGACAGACTTGGGCCAAAAATCTGACACAAACGACTGGAAAAGGGTGTTCCTAGCACACAGATGCAGATCTAGGTGCACATTGCACCTAGAGCTTATGCAGAAACTACAATACCACTGGTATATGGTACCAGCCAGACTTGACAGAATATATGCGGGTGCCACCGACCACTGCTGGAGGTGCTAAACTGGAAGGGTGACCATGTATCACATATGGTGGGCATGTGCTAAAATTCAGCAATATTGGGAGATGGTGGGTAGAATGGCCTCGGAAATGCAGCAACCAATCACCCTTTCTCCTGAATCGTGCTTGCTCTTCATAACACTAAATAAAATATAACAAATCAGATTCCACATCTTGATTGCTGCCAACACGCTCATAGCAAGGGCATGAAAATCTACATAGATACCTCTGCAAAAGCCACCTAACACAGCAGATAACCACAAATCTCGATTATGAAATTATGACCATGCCTCAGACACAAGCGAGACAATGCTTCCTGAACACCAGAATGAGGTGGAGAAACATATGTCTCCTCGCACGGCAGAGTATAGGACAAGACTTTGACTGTGTGACTTTCGGAGGTGGAGGGAGAAGGAGTGAAGTTCTAAGAGGGGTAGGAGGAAGAGGGTGGGGGAAATGAGACAGACCATGGGGAGAGGAAGTAAGGGCAACCACTCCTCATACTGGTTTATCTCCTGCATACTAAAACTGTTGCAAAAGTGATTCACCAGTAGCACCAAGCACTCACACACACAGTGAGATCCTATGAAGAAACCCACACTGTATATAGTTTTACTTTATTCTACTATTGCACTATCACTTAGTACGACGCGCAAGATCTGTAGCACACCGAAGTTACATAGGCCGAAGCCTAATACCAGTCATTGTAAACAAAAGCAACTGATAAGCTAGGTCTACGCCAGAGCCACTATGAGATCACTGCAATAAATGTTAGAATGTTGACTGCTAATAGCCTATTGCACCACAGTATCATTGTACCGCAGTTTTAATGTACCACATGGGCCAAATGGACCAAATACACTTGTATGGCTTGATGCCAACACGATGAGTCACCACTAAAGCCTATGTGAATGTATGTATAAATGTGTATGTATTAATGTGACTGTGAACTTGCTATAAAACATTTTTTTTAAAATTGCCAATTGAAAAAAAAACTAAATAAATAATTCCAGGGGGGTGGAGCCTAGCTGCCAAGCAGAGTGGACGTGCTAAAACCCAGCTCCTGCATTATCTGCCTGATTTGGGGGAAAATACCCAGTAAAACTGGCACAGAACTACTCTAAGGGGCATAACTGAATTGGGATCCTCGGGGTGCAACTCTGGACACCCAAATCGACTAACTAACCACCCAAGACCCCAAGCTGCGGTGACCGAGGCCTACAGGATGGCTGGCAGAGGGGAGACGGCTGCTCTCCTTTCCACCTACCTGCTCCACGACCACGTCGACCCTCAATCATCCTGCCCCTCCCCGCCCCCGGGACCGGTGGGGGATATCCCGGTCCTCGCCGCGGGCCCCAGACCGAGCCTATACACAGCGTGTGGGCACCAGGGCCAACGACACGTAGCCCATTGAAAATGGCGGCGGAGTACTCGCAGCAACAGCGGACTCAGCTTGAAGCAGCTGAGCAGAGCTCCGACTGCGGCACAGACCTCATGCAGCGTCTGGATGCACTTTTCAACAACTTCTGGGAGAAGCTCCAGCAGCGCGCACAGCGCACCAAGACAAAGCGACAGGATCCCATGGACCCAAGAGAGAGGAGCTATGGGCGGCCAGGCGAGAGGGGGACTCCCTCGGGCGCAGCACCAGACCAAAAGCTGACACTTGCGGCAAGCAACATAGAAGTACTCCTAGTTATGTCACATCCTCATACAAAACGATTCTGAACTAGCTATTTTAACTTCTTACAGCTTAAAAGTATGATTAACTAAGCATGTTTATATTAAAAATTGTGCTTGATAGACATATGTCCCGCATGTAAAGCGGAGGAATAGCCTGAGGACTGCTTTTGGGGCACCTCAAGCCTGCCTGTATCATTTTCATGCACTGCAAAAATAAAGAATTTAAAAAATAAATAAATAATTCCAAAGTGCAATAACTAAAAAAAGATATTTTATTTTTTTACATAAAATCAAATATTAACTGTCAAACAAAGAATCCATTGTAAAACCTGTCCAAAATTCAACTAGAGAGAATTTTATTATGTAGGTTTAGAAAAAAAATGAAAACCACTAGAGGGGGTGGAGGGGTGAGGGGTAGTTTAATAAAAAAAATTTAGCACAACGAGAAGCATATTGGATAAATACCCTCAAAACGTTTTAACCAGGGGGATTCAATGTAGATATTGATTTATGGTGTTTTTTTATATTAGTTTGTAATTAGGGGCGAGTTTTATATTTCTGCTGTTTCCTGTATGCCCTTTTTTTCACGTCTTTTTCAGCTTCCTGTTTCCTTTCTAGATGCTCACCATTTCTCTATGTTTTTATATGTACAGACAATAATTTTTATACCTATCTGTACATTCATGAATATTGAAATTTTATTGTATTTTTAGCAGTGTGTATATATTTGTGTTTGGTGCTATTCTTGTAACGTAACGTATGTATAGTATGGTGTAACCATAGGTATGACCAAGTCGGTTGAAGTGTGCTGAAACCGACGTACGCGGTAGGCCTGTAGTAAAGAGGGCCCACCCTAGATATAAAATAATAAATTAAATGGAGTTGAGAGAGTGGTGGGTGGTGCCTGCCAAAGTCAAAACTCCACAGTGATGCAGAAAAAGGGGGGTGAGTTTAAAAAGGATCACCACGCCCCTCCCACAACTCCAGGCAAGCCTTTACATTTGTGTTTGGTGCTATTCTTGTAACGTATGTATAGTATGGTGTAACCATAGGTATGACCAAGTCGGTTGAAGTGTGCCGAAACCGACGTATGCGGTAGGCCTGTAGTAAAGAGGGCAAAAATAAGCAGTGTCTTTGCCAAAGAAAATATTTATTACATAGAAAAACATAGTGCAAAGAAAATACCTCAAGATGACAGTTTAACAAAACCACCCTAATTTCTAACACAGGTTGAGGTATATACAAAGCAAATGCTGAGGACTTCCAGCGGCCCAAAGACTTGATTACATGTACTGGAATATTTTGGCTGGAGGCTGTGGAGGCTGTCCCTATCCGAAAGGAATGGCCAGAAAAGTTGCCAGCGTTCAGACCTAGTCTGGTCAGTAACATGCAGATGTATTGCATGTATTTGGCTGTTGTTAAGACCTCTTTGTGTAAGACTAGCAGCGGTTTGTCAGACTGTGGTGGTAATGATTGGAGGTATGTATCCAATACTTTCACCAGGCACCATTTGTTTGCAGTAGGATAATATGACTGGTACTATCTTGCCCAGCTGGCTTGTTTTCATAACTGGTAGTGACAAGATATAGTGATCATGTAGTTTGGTGAGATGGGACTGTTTGAGGCACTTTTGTGCGTATTTGTTTCCGTGTATGGTAAAATCACCAGGTCTAAGAAAACCATAATATGCCAAGAAGATGGCTGTTTTGATTACCATGTTTGTATAGTGTTCAAATGGGGCCGTGTCCAACAAAACGGACATATCCTTAAATAGCTGCTTATGTACTGGTAATCTTGTTGATGGAGGAGTGGTACTGGATTTCTGTACGCCTTTAAGAATGTTTTTAATGGGGTAAGAAGATAAGAAACTAGAGTTGTCTGGGTATAAGGTAAACATGTGGTGGTGTATGCCGGTTAAATATAATTTGATGGTGTTGTGTGACAGTTTCAGTGCACCAAGTTGTGATTTATCATAAACCTCTTGTATAGTTTGAAGGTCCTATCGTAAGACCGTTTAGTATTGTCAGATAGGGCTAGACTAGCCAAGGCAAGAATATGCCTTGCCAATTCTTTCAGTCCATCACCAGCTCCTGAAAATGTGATGCTGTAGGGGAGGCCGTGGCTAACGTCTCTCTGAATGCCTGGAATTCAAAGCGAGACAACTTGTCAGCTGCAGTATTAAAGACCCCTAGGTACATGAGAACACACCAAATAAAAGTGATTGCAGGCAGCCAGCCAGGTCAGTGTTCTCATGAATCTCATGATCGTTCGAGACTCCAAACGGCCTTTGTTTATGATGTGGCAGGTAACCCCACACCACAGCTTCCACCACAATGGGGTATATCTTAAATAAGGCCGAGGTGCGTGAGAAGCTTTCAATGTGCTGGACCTCCTCTGGCCAAACATCCCAAAGCCACTAAACAATTCTCGAGGCTTACTAGTCATCGTTGTAGTTTTCCCACGTCTTAGTGAATGATTTCATGGAGCCTCTTATTTGGGCCGTTAATTTGTCCATGAGATGACACTCTTTGATTTTGTTGAGCACTGTGGACATTGGGGGGGGGATAGGTTGCAGCCACGTTTGGGCTAGGGCTTTTCTGGCTGCTAGTGCTATTTTGTTTAGCAATTGTTGTTCTGGTCTTGGCCAGTCATCTAGGGGTTTGGCTAACAGGAATGTCCATGAGTTTAGGTCTACCGGTCTGTGTAGGATTTGTGTTATTAGCTTTTGGATGTGTTTCCAGAAGAGTTTAATGGTGGGGCAGAACCACCACATGTGGGGGGTATGTCCCTTTTTCTCCGGAGTTACACCAACAGAGATCTGTAGATGTTTTTTTTCATGTGGTATAATTGGACTGGGGTAATGTACCATCTAAGCATAGTTTTTTATTCCTGTTCCTGCATCGTGACGCAGATGGAAGTTTTTGTGTTAGCTTCCCATATGTCCTGCCAGTCAATTCCCTCTAAAGTTTCGCCTAGGTCTGATTCCCATTTGTCAGTGTATTAGAGTTGTCCCCATTCCCGTGTGGTGGAACAGAGGTGGGAGTATAGTGTAGTGATCATGCCTTTTTGATACCGTTCCGCTAAGCAGGTGCGTTCAAAAAAGGTTGGACTGGTTGTAGCGGCGGTTTTCACCGTCGCTAGGGCCGCGTAATTTTTAAGTTGTAGATATCTAAAGAAGTCGGCTGGCTTCAACGTTGTTCTGGACTGTAGGTCTGGAAAGGGAATTATCTTATCTCCTGGTATACTCTCTTAAGGCCAGCTTGCTCTAAGCCTTTAAAGTCCCATGGTCTCATGCCTGGTGTTAAGGCTCTATTACGATATATGGGGGTAAGTGGCGATGTCATGGTAGTCAGCCCGTATTTAAGGGCGTATTTGTCCCATAATTGAATTGAGTTGGTAATGGCCGGGCACGCCGTTCTCGGGAGCGCTCTGTGTTCTTTAGGGGTCCAGATGTAAAATTGCGGGAGATCGGATCTCATGAGCATTGATTCCAGATCTACACACCTTCTAGTCTCTGGGGTGGTATACCATAGGGCTATTTGTGCCATCTGGGCAGCTGGATAGTAAAAGTGGAGGTGGGGTAGGCCCAGGCCTCCTCTCGTTTTGGGGCGATAATGTATGTTGCGGGCTACTCTGTGTCTCTTGTTCTACCAGATAAATCTATCTATTGCCCGCTGTAGTGGGGTGAGGTTGTGTTTCGTGATGGGGATTGGTATGGCCTGGAATAGGAATAAAATGCGGGGTAAAAACGTTCATCTTTAGAGTGTATCCTCCCTATCCAGGATATGGGTTTGTCCGCCCAGGTCTCCATGTCTGAGATGAGTTTTTCTATCGTGGGTATGTAGTTTAGTCTGTAGAGTGTGGTGGTGTCTGCTGTTAATTTGATGCCTAGATACGTAAGGAACGTTGGTGTAACGTTTATGTGGTGGTCTAAGGTGATGTTAGTTATGTCCGTTTGTGTTAGGTTTATGGGGAGTGCACTGGATTTCTCCACATTTACCTTATATCCCGAGACCTCCCAGACACCTTTCCATTTTAAACCATGCAGATGCCATAGTGACAGGCGAATGGGTAGTAATTTGAACGCATTGACGATGTCAGTTTTACTGAGCCAAGCCCCTATGCCAGCTGTGATGATGGTGTGTATAGCGTTGTCTATAGTGGCGTACTGGAGTGAAAATTCCTTGGATGGAATTAGGTCATTAAGGCTTGGTATGGCGAGGGAGCGAGGTGCTGATAGGTCTAAAATAAGTGTGTTTCCCTGTGGATTTCCCAGTGACTAATCCTATGGGGTTGGTTTGCCAATTGGAAAATGGGGGCTCGTGAAAAGAACCCATCCTCCAATTCTTTGTGTAATAGAGCATCGATCATTTCCACATTTGCAAATGCTGACTGTAAATTGTTGCATTCATAAATGCCAGCGGGGGTATGAACCAACCCTGTATGGCATCCCTCCGTGAAACCATCTATCAAAAAGTCCACTAGGTGTTTGGATGGGTGGGAGGCTAATGCGTGCGCCAAAGAACCAATCTTTACGGATGTCAAGTATGGTTTAGTATGACTTTTTGGGACACAGACGTGGCGTGTGCCCTAAAACAATGTGAACAAACATGTAACAACCTGCAGGCACTATAACCACAGGTACCTACGTTGAAGTTATTACAAACCCAGGTAAACAATAGGACGACCAAGTTTGTCCTTGCCAGATATGTCCAACCTGGTCTGTGGTTCACGGAAAGTCCCAGGTGTGGACGCTGGCATAGTGGGACAATAGTCCGAGGAATGTGATGTTGAAGCACAAGCTGGTGTCTTGAGACCGGCAAAATGTCTACAAAATAGCTCAGTATCCATGCGGCTCCAGTCAGTTTTGACTTTATACTGAGCCAATATTGCAGACGCTCTTGCCGAAAAAGATTGGTGAGAGTCATAAAAGGATCACCCACCATATTTGCTTCCCAAGTCCACCAGCTTGTGCATGTAGAGGTCGAGTTCCTCTCGTCTATGCGGATAAACAGAACAAATTACATCACGATATATACCAAAAGCCAAGACAAAATCAGTTATGGACAGTTTCTTATTCAATCTAGGGTCCCTTGCTTTCAACACCACCGAAATATCAACATAAGCATAAGTGCGGTTATCAATGACATCATGAGAAGCAATAAGTAATGCCACAAGATTGACATCCTTCCCCTCCAAGATGTCTTTCTTAATCTTATCTGGGACCATGTGCACCGGATTGATAATGTGAGTTTCGGAACAAGAAGGCACATTACCAGAGCAATAGTGGAGCATTGGGGAGTAAGGCAGTCGAGGGCCTGGAAGACCTGACAGGAGGGCTTCGAGCCTTGATCCTATCCAGTCTCTCGTTGACCTTGCTCATGGATGCTACTAGTGAAGTGACCATGGCGTGTAGGTCAGAGTTGCCCGTACCACTTGTGCCCTCTCCCGCCCGAGTTATCAGTATGGGTCCGCATTAATTTGTAGAGCTCAGCTTTCCTGGCCGTGGCAGGAAAAGGAATGCTGCGCCTCCGGAGTTCTGCAGTAATGCGAGGGATGGTCCGTGACCTTATTGAAGTTGGACTCCCAACGTCGCCTTTACGAGCCGGTGACAAGGATCTGGCTGGAGAACTGGGTAGAGACAAATTGTCTGTGTCATCCGGTAGATGTGACATACTAAAAGGAAATAATCAAATCATCAGCCATTGTACCATATTTTGGTTACTGGCTGGCTAGCTAATGCTGGATGGCGAAACAATTTCCTAGGTGTGGTGACAGGTGAGGCCCTGCTAGTTGCCAAGTGGCTTGAGAGGCTCTATCGACTGGCACGAGGGAATTGTTGCCACTGAAACGTTGTGGCGGGGTGTTGGTCTCTCGATAACGACTAAAACGCATAATATAGAATGGGAGTGACAAGTGAGGCCCTCTCTATGCAACCGCGCGAGGCGGCTAACTATGATTTGGTCCTCAAGCGTGGAGGAAATGGATTGGCCTCGTGGAACCACTACTACTAAGGCGAAGAAGCCCGAATAATTTACTAGTGGCCGTCTATCCTAGATAAGCCACTAACACTAAGTCATAACCTCTAAGTAATGTGATCTCTGATAGTAGCTTTGGTAGATTAATGCACGTAAACACATTGTAAATCCAAACACAGCAACACGCACCACCATAATATGTAAGCGACCGCCCTCCTTTATCACGTAGTGCGTATCTTAGAATATGCCCTACAGTCATGTAGTAAAGTGGCATGAAATACTGCCGCATGTCGCACCACTCGTGCCATGGTAGTATATAACACTGTAGTATGCAACAAGTCATATGGTATCATGGCATACCGTAGCATGTAACGCAATAGAATGTAACACCATTTGAACCGTAGTGGTAAGCCCAGTAGTATGTAATACCGTAGAGCAGCATGTACCACTGTAGTGCCATACGTGGAATGTAATGAGCTATACGGTAGTATGCAGCAAGTAGTCTGTAATAAAAGTATACAGTATTATGTGATTAGTATAGTATGTAGCCAGCAGTATGTAATAAAAGTATGCCTTAGAATGCGGCCCAGTTAGTATGTGATAAGTATGTAGTAGCTTGCAGCAAGGTAGTATGAAATAAGTATGCGTTGGTATGCAGCTTAATTAGTATATGCTAAGTATATAGTAGTATGCAGCAAGTAGCATGAAAATAAAGTATACATCATTGTGCAGCTCAGTTAGTATGTGTTAAGTATACAGTAGTATGCAGCAAGTAGTATGACAAAGTATACATCATTGTGCAGCTCAGTTAGTATGTGTTAAGTATACAGTAGTATGCAGTAAGTAGTATGACAAAGTATACATCATTGTGCAGTTTAGTTAGTAGGTGCCAAGTATAAAATAGTATGCAGTACGTAGTATGACAAAGTATACATTAGTATGTAGTTTAGTTAGTATGTGCTAAGTATACAGTAAGTAGTATGACAAAGTATACATTAGTATGCTGTTTAGTTAGTATGTGCTAAGTATAAAGTAGTATGCAGCAAGTAGTATGACAACGTATACAACAGTATGCAGTTCAGTTAGTATGTGCAAAGTATAAAATAGTATGCAGTAAGTAGTATGTCATGACAGTATACATTATGAAGCCCAGTAGTTGTACTGTGGTATGTGATACAGTATTTACAGTTTAACTTCCCCAGCAGCATGTAAGCTTCGTTTTAGTAGTGTACTAAGTAAGCTGAAAACGAAACCTGTCAGCAATGTGGAGACATGTGTGGTCTCTGGCTGCTGTGTCCGTGCGATTTACTGCCAGCCCCCCCACCCCTATGGACCATCCGGCATGTGGCAGATGGTAAGAGAACCGGAATATGCAAGACTCACGATTTTAGTGCCCCACGAGCGTGTGGGAAAACAGCAGCCGTTAGCCGATCTGAACGCACAGACCGCGAACCGGAAGTGATCGTAACCCGGCAGTCCGAAAATCGGAAGTGATGCCTGCCGAAATCAAAACTACACGGTGATGCAGAAAAAGGGGCGTGAGTTTAAATAGGATCACCACGCCCCTCCCACAACTCCAGGCAAGCCTTTACATGCATATATAATTTTTTTTTTTTGGATCTGGGAGGTGGAAAACCTACATATGAACATAAGATAAAACATAGACCCTTACTAAATTACAGTCATGGATTATTTGGGGCATTCTAGCTAGCAATAAGGAAGTTTAAAAAAAAAGTTTTATAAAGGAAAATCTTGTTTTTTTTTTTTATAAGGAAAATAAAGTTTATTACATATAATTAATAATAGCATATGCCTACATGTCTCCCCCTTCTGGTGCTTTGATTGTGGTATCTACCAAAATGAACATTACCCACAGATTCTGTATGAAGCCTGAAGCTACAGGCAGGAAGGAACCGCAGAGTGGAATGTAAACGTCAGCATGCACACAGCGCAATTATGTCACCGAACTCAAAGACTTGAAATTACAAATGGTATTAGACAGGCCACAGTGGAATGCATGCGTGGGACGCGATGACATCAGAAAAGGTGGAACCAGGAAGAAGACTGAAATTCATCTAATACAGCTAAGGAGTTTGATAGAACCTATTGAAACAAAGCTGGAAACAGGAAAGGTGGTATATAAGCACTGGAAAGGAGAGGAGGGACTTGTATGCACTTTGTATTTTGAAAAGCACAGAGTTGTCCATGAGAAAGCCCCTAAGTGGGATGAAACGCGTAGGACTTACTTCATTAACTTAAGGTGATATGCCACATCTGCTACTACTAACTTCTATGTAAGTTAATACATTTGCATTGTGTACTTGGTTGCTATTTTATTGGATTGCACTTTGCCTCTTCTCATTTGGAAAAATATAAACCTCAAGACCTAGAAGAGATCCACATCAATTATACTGAAGGCTATTTATTTTTTTCAAAGTTGTGAGTGGCCATTTGGAGTATGAAATAAATTGTTACTCTTCTGCACAGGTGTGCCATTTCTTCCCCCTATTTTTACATATTGATTTCTAAATATGTAACATTCTCCCACCACAAATATGCAACATCCCCCCCCTGCCCCCACCCAAATATTATTTAAGCCTCTCACATATGGCTTGACAAATTTGCTTTGAACCTAGGAGTTAACATAAAAAAAAAAAAAAAAAGTTAGGAGCCCGTTTTTGTTGTTGTTTTTTTTTAAACTAACAAACCATTATTTTCAACAATGCAATTCTTAATGGGACACTATCGCTTAAAGGGACACTATAGTCACCAGAACAACTACAGCTTATTGAATTTGTTCTGGTGAATAGAATCATTACCTTCAGGCTTTTTGCTGTAAACACTGCATTTTCTCTGAAAAGACAGTGTTTACAGCCTAGTGATAACTTCACCGGCCACTCCTCAGATAACTTTTAGAGATCCTTCCTGGCTCATGGCTGCCTAAAATGCATCCAAACATTCAGTATCTCCTCCCTCTGCATGCAGATACTGAAATTTCGTCATAGAGATTCATTGATTCAATTCATCTCTATGACGAGATGCTGATTGGCCAGGGCTGTGTTTGAATCATGCATGGCTCTTCCCCTGATCTGCCTCTTTGTCAGTCTCAGCCAATCCTATGGAGAAGCATTGTGATTGGATCAGGCTACCACTTCTGATGATGTCAGCAGACTGCTTTTTTACAGCTTCAGGCTTGAATACAGTAAGATTTTGCTATATTTATGGAGGCATGAGGGGCCCAGTGGGGCTAGATGGTGGTTTTAAGACTATAGGGTCAGGAATACATGTTTGTGTTCCTGATCCTATATTGATCCTTTAATGTAGAGGTTCTGGTGTCATGTAAACAACAGACATGGGAATCTTCGTTGCCCACATAGAAAAGATAGGCTCCCCTTGCCGTTGAAAAGCTGGGAGAAATCCTCCCTGTCTGGGAGCATGTGCATGTGCTCAGAGCTGGCAAATTGGTCCAGTCACAGGTTTTGCTCTGAGAAACATGTGACTGGACCAGACACTGTAAAACTGATATCACAAAGGAGAGTGGAAAAGAGAGTTGGGAACAGGTAGACCCTGAACAGTTGTCTTGTGAGCTCCAGTACTAGAAGCATCACAGCAATGCTCTCCTTGGCCAGAGTTTGGGAGCAACTCATGCGTTGCACCCTTGAGAGGTGCAGACAGGAGGCTACTGTGCTCTCTGTGCCCTGGAGTCAGGCACTCTGACACACACTGCTTTCTTAAACTCAGTCACACATGCAGTAGCGCTTTTATTGTGTAGTACCATGTGTGATTTGATGGGGGTGCTGCACTCTGGGGGGCATTTGCCCCTTGCTGTAAAGATTAAAGCTAGCTGACGCTCTTAGCCTATCACCATCTTTTCAGCTAAAAAGTTATTATACTGTGAAGGAAAAGAAAGAAGACATGTGAAAGGGGTGTTGGGTAGTGGCCTTAACTTAAAGGGACACTATAGTCACCTGAAGAACTTCAGCTTAATGAGGTTGTTCAGGTGAGAACTATAGCTTCCTGCAGCCTGTCTCATGTAAACACTGTATTTTACATTGAAAGCTAGGAACACTTCCAGTTGCAGTCACTCAGCATGCCACCAGAGGGACTTCCGAGTTGATTGAGGCATAAAACTCCTCAATTCACTCAGATCTGCTGTCAGCAGAGCACAGGGCAGCACTGCCTGTCCTCCCTCTGCATGCAGACACTGAACTTTCCTCATAGAGATTCATTTCATCTCTATGAGGAGATGCTGATTGTACAGGGCTGTGTTTGAATCATGCTGGCTCTGCCCCTGATCTGCCTCTTTGTTAGTCTCAGCCAATCCTATAGGGAAGCATTGTGATTGGATCAGGCTACCACTTCTGATGATGTTAGCAGACTGCTTGCTTTTCTGAGGCAAACAACATGCAGAGTTACAGCTTCAGGCTTCAATACAGTAAGATGTTGCTATCTTTATGGAGGCATTAGGGGCCCAGATGGTGGTGTTAACACTATTGGGTCAGGAATACATGTTTGTGTTCCTGACCCTATAGTGTTCCTTTAAGGTTAAGCAATTGCAAAAAATAAATTTAAGCCCTAAAAAGGTAAGATTGCACCAGACACTCCTGCCATCATAACAACTTAAACAAGCTTAAAAGAAACACTATAATCACCAAAACAACTTTAGCTTAATGAAGACTGCAGGAGCAAGATCTATACACCAAAACTGCTTCATTAAGCCATCTTTGTTTTGGAGACTATAATGTCCCTTTAAGTACAAATGCCTGAGCATAATTGGAAGCACAGGCACAACTGCTGTGACAGTCATATATTAGAATTGTTACGGAAGGCTTTGGTGACTTGGTAGTTGGGAATGTGGGTCACTATATCTGTAATGCTAACGTTTACCTTTAATCGCTGTGACACAGCATCTGTACCCATATGGCTTGCAATCTGACTGCCACAATAATAGAATGCCGATACATTCTAATAGAGCGTATCAGTCAGCCGTCCCAGCGTACTCATCGTGCTCTCTTGTTTACCTGTCTTACGTACGCCTCTTATTGCCGGCCGGTCCGTCATTTCCGGGTCTTGTGGGAAGTGACGTAACTGCAAAACCTGGTCCTTCTCTGAGCGCATGCGCAGTATAATGAGTAGAAGGAGGAGGGGGTCTCAGTTTTGCCCAAAGTCTGTCCTGGATTCTGTACTTATCTCAGTGGGAACGGACTCACTGCTGTACTACAGATTAGGGCAACATTAACAGGAATTAAACTGGATTGACCGCTCTCAGTTAAATCACCCCATTATATTACACATGTTCCACCCCAGCTGCTGGAAAACAACTCCATACATCCTTGGCATGTCTTATGTGTACAGACTCCTGATGGGAGTTGTAGTTCTAGCAAAGCTGAGTGTATCCATTACACTGAAGCCATCCTGCATGTTTTGATGGTATCACTGCATACTAGTTTGTTCTCTGCAGCCCCAGTGCCTTTGGAGTAATAGCTGTAAGGTGAGTTGTCAGGTCCACCATGTTTTCCTGGACACAGACCACTTTTTCGTGGGCAGAACATGAAAAGTGCTGCCCTGTCGCGTAAATCATGTACGTGCTACAGGATAAGACAATGATTCTTGACTTATTTTTACAAGTCTGTGTGCTTTTCATGTTTGCCCATATGAGTGTGTGTATGGGTGTTATTTCCAGTTTGGACATGTTATATTGACCAATAGGCATGCCCACATGCTTCTATGTAGGTCTATGCCCCCCGTGCTACTCTGTAATGTGATTAGGCAGCCAGGAACAGGCAGTACCTGGCTTCCATTACAGCAGGTATTCCAACCATGAGAACCACAGTCCTCAGCAACTGGACAGTGAGAGCAAAGTGGTTATAAAGTCATCAGCTGGCTGCATGCCCATAGCTGGATAATAATACACTGTAGTGGACCTCACATGATGCTCTGTTTGGCATCCCTAGGTGTTACCATGCCTGTTCTCACAGAGGGAGTCTGCTGACAGACCGCTCCAGGGGCTCCAGTGCGGGTTTTACAGGCAGTGCTCTGGCAGCCCTGGGAGGAAGGCCTTTTGCATGCACTCAGGTTGAAGAGCCTCAAATGGCAGGAAAATTATCTGGCTCTGGAGGGAGGACTGAGAGTGTCCTTTGTTCTTTCAAGGTGCAGGAATGAAAATCTTTAAAATCAAGAGGAAGGGGAGATCGGAGTAAACCCCCAAGAAAAGGGAATAAAGGCAATCTGTGTGTGATTCTGTGCTCCCACAACATCCAGGGGCTGGGGTCTGCAGGGTGCAGCTCTTTGTCCAGGTTGGCTTCATTGCCCACACAGACCAGGAGCAAGCAGAACATCACGAGTTGGAGAACACCCCACAGCCTGGCCCTGATGCCCTGGAGCTTGGTAGGAAAAGATGTGTGGATATAATTTCTGTAGTTATTTATTGATTTGTTTATACCCCTCTCTCACACACCCCCTTTGTGGGGCATTGCTTTCACCCATCCCCCAACCAGTTTTTTTTTTTTTTTTTTACACGATCACCTCTGTACCAACCCCTGGCTTACCATCACCGCTTCCCTTCCCTGAGCACCTGATAATTAGTTATCACTGCCTTACAAGTCTGAAAATGCAACTGGTGTTTGTTTTTAATAAGAACTTTATTCATTTGAAAACTAAAATGTGTAAAAAAAAATTAATTAGGTAGAAGGCGTGTAGAGTTTTGTTTTTGTTTATGTTCCTGTGTTTACGGCAAATTGTGTTATTACAGCGATTGAAGTTATCCCTATACTCTACATGGCTTGTATTTTAAAAATTTTATTATAACTGAAGCTTCTTCCCATCCTATTCACACACAGCATATATCTTGATATTAACAATCATTATTATTAGTGTGTGTGTATATATGTGTGTATATATATATATATATATATATATATATATATAATTACCATGGCAACCTCAGATTGTGCAAGTTCTTAGAAGAACAGTTGTCACTGTGTTCCGACAGGTCTGGCCTTTTCATGTGTGCTTTGTCAAGCGCTGTTCTGCATATATTGTTGTTGCTATAAAATAAGCAAAAGAAGAGGAGACGGATATGCTGTTAGTGTTTACAGTATATCAGTATAGTTCTTATATACGAAGTTCTAACATTATTATTAGCAGCAGCAAATATGTAGATTATGGCTTTGGAGATGTACAAACCTTTACCTGAAATATCTGGTAGTTTGTAACCTCAAAAACAGAACAAGGTTGTGTTTAAAAAAAAAAAAAAAAGCAAAACAAATTCCATTTTGCACTGAAGCCAGGAATAGTGTCTGCAAAATAGTGTAAACCATGACTATTCCATGATACATTTTTGGTTTTTAATGGTTGTTGAACACCTGTTCTAGTTTTGTTATATATAATATTATAAATGTTGACTGTGGAAGTATACAGTGTCAATGCTGACAATATTTGGAGAGGTTGATCATGTTCAGTTTCTGCAATATTGGTGAAAAATATTGCATCAGCTGTTGTTTTTGTTTTTTGTGGTTTTTTTTGTTTGTTTGTTTTGTTTTTTTACTGCCCTCAAAACCTAAAAATAATCATGATTACATATATTAGATGAGACTGAAAATGACTAGACTGTAAGTGGTTTACAATATTCAGTTGTTGTTTTTTGTTTTTATTTTTGCAAATCCACTGCTATACTGTAAATCCATGAGTATAGGCAGTTTTTTCTAATATTAGAAGAAGCAAGCACATATGAAAGGTAGAAGGCCAAGTGATGGAAGCATTGGCAAAATGTTGGCTCCTAATGAGCTAAACAGCCTACCATCCATACCAGATGGATACCAAATACGCTTAATAAACGCATTAATAAACTCTCAACAGAGCACCTAATAGAAAATATATACCTTATTTACAGATACCACTTTCTACAGGAAAGTTATTTTTAATATACATATTCTGTCTCATGCTAAACAGCAGAATCTCTAACATTTTGTTAACTGTGGAATGACCCATTTATGTAAACTTGTGTGGTCTCCCAACCACTTCACATGGGACATGATGTAGAAGCGCTCTCCATCCAATTTAAAAATATCACCTGACTATGAATTTTGTAAACGTCTTTTCAAAGAACACACTAACCTAAAAAAAATATATGTATGTTTAATGCTAGAGTGTCCCTTGGTACTCGTACTGTCTCCCTCTCAGTTGTAAAAGAACAAAAAAAGTTATTAACCCTTGAAGGACAGAGGCAATGGTCTAACTTCTGAACCAAACAAAATCTAATGCTATGTGATTGTTTTGCTGTAATTAAGGATGTTTCTTTTGTTTAACCCACATATATTATATATTGTTTTTTGTTAATTGCAAACATTTGACACGTTTTTTTTTTTTCCCCCTCTCCATACTTAATATTGTTTAAAAAAACAAACCAATATATAATCTGCACTTGAATAAAAATCCTTTAATTCTAGGTTTTATTTTGGTCTAGAAGCTAGACAATTGCTTCTTTCCTTAATAGGTTAAAGTAACACTACCACCCCATAGCATCTTGATATGTGCAGTAAATTTGCAATTCTAAATCATGCCAGAGTGGCATATAAAGGGCCAGGTTCTAGGCAATTTAATCATTTTCATTATGAAGAAGTGGGTTCTTAGAAATTCACTTTAAGGACACTTTTATATAGTTCAGTTATATATTTCTGAACCATATCAAGTACAGAGATTGGTTTAAATATTTTGTGAGGTATTCTGCATTTCTGATCAATCTAATTTTTCTGGTATTTGAAGTGGTCCTGGTGCTTGAAGTCTGTGCATTGAAACACTGCAAATTCCGAGTTTTACTCCTTTGCTGCTAGAGGTGTCAGATGTCCAGTAGCGTCATTGGGGCATCAGTTCTGGGCTGGTTGGCTATTAGTTGCATTCAGTGCCTGAGAGCAGTCAGCTGAAACCCTCAACTAATGAATGGCCAGCGGGATCGGTATCCAGATTCTTCAGCTCCGCATAAGCAGATGCATATCACCGGCCATAGAGGACACCCTGTGCCCGGCGGAAACCCAAGTGAGATGGCAGACCATTGCAAAACAGTTTAAGCTATTACCAGTAAATGGGACCAAGCTACTTATGTTATCATGACCATGTCCTTCTCCAAACTCTTCAATCCCTCGGTCTCTGTGAGTCCCACAAGTATCTGTTCTTGGTCACCTTCTGTTCTCTCTTTATGCTGCCTCTCTTGGCAAACTCATTAACTCCTTTGGATTCTATTATCATCTGAATCCCGACAACACCCAGATATATCTCTCCCCCGCGGTCCTGCAACATGTCACTGCTTGCCTTTCTTCAATCTCTGATTGGATGTCCGCCCGCTTTCTGAAAACTCAATCTCTCAAAAACTGAGCTTCTTATTTTTCCCCCACATAATTTTCATCCTCCTCCTTCGCTTTCCCTACAAGTTCATGGTACTTGCATCAGTCCATCCTTGCAAGCTTATTGTCTTGGTGTTATCTTTGATCCTGGCCTCACCTTTGCAATATCCAATATGTTGCTAAAACCTGTCGATTCCACCTTAAAAACATTGCCTGCATCCGCCCCTTTATCACGCAAGATGCTGCCAAGGAACTTGTTCATGCTCTGGTAATCTCTTGCATGGATTACTGTAATTCTCTCCTTGTTGGTCTCCCCAAAAGCCGAACTGCCCCGCTACAATTGGTAATGAATGCTGCCGCCAAGCTGATCTTTCTCACCCGTTGCTCCTCCCATACCTTGCCCCTCTGTTGATCCTTACACTGGTTTCCTCTATCCTATAGATGTAAATTCAAAATGCTAACCCACTCTAGCCCCTGTTACATTTCTCACCTTCTCGGTCTCTCCGCTCTGCCGGTGACCTTCTCCTGTCCGCTGCTTGCACCCTTACTGCTAACTCGCGCTTGCAGGATTTCTCATGGGCGTCTCTCTTCATTTGTAACAGCCTGCCTAACCCCATCAGACCCTCCTCTAGTCTTCAATTGTTTGACGTTCCTCAAAACACATCTGTTCAGAAATGCTTATGGACTCCCAGAGTAACTTATCTATAATTATTCAAATTTGTCTCTCGCTCTCCTTAAAGAGCCATGCTCCACTCTAACCTCCAGCTCTGCTACTCTTCCACCTTGTTTGGTGGCTGTCAACCTTGCTTCCCTGTTGTGTTTTTGTACCCAACCTCCTCTAGACTGTAAGCTCATTTGAACAGTGTCCTCATCTACCTATTGTTCCTGTGTAACTGTGTAATTATCTAATTTATTGTAAATTCCCCCCCTTAATAATATTGTAAAGTGCTGCAGAATTAGTTGGAGCTATAAAAATACCAATAATAATCATAACCAATACAGCTGGTTAGAATAGCTAATTTAAAGGACCACAATAGGGTCAGAAACACAAACATATATTTCTGACCCTATAGTGTTAAAACCACAATCTAGCCAACCTGTCCACCTCTTGCCTCCCTAAATATAGTAAAATCTTACTTGTATTCAAGCTGCTGCCATTGGGGTTAGTGACAGAGCTTCTTTAAAAGGTACCTGTCATGGTACGTACAACATATAAAGAATGCTCCTTTTTAAAAGAGCATAAAATATAATGTATACATTGTACTAGTAGATTTGCTAGTACATTTATAGAATGGGAGAAAAACCTGTTCAAAAATCAGAGTAGAAGAAGCCTCCCACAGGCGGTGCTTCTGCTTTCAAAGCATAACAACCAAAGTGCATGCGCTGTGTTTGCTATGTTAACTCCCTTGCCACCACTGTTGGCACTGGCCAAGGAGAATAGGAACAGAGTGACTGATGTTACCCCATTCAGACATCAGCATGCTGGTAATGAAGACCATGGGCGAAGCACAGGTAACCGGATATGGTTGTTACAGAACAGTAACACCCACAAACCCGAGGACATTGCAGCACTGGGCCAGAGATGAGGAAGCTTGTCTCTAAACTTTACATTGAATACATCACATATCTCACATACATCTGATATATGATGCATTTGGGGCGTTTGTGTTAAATGACAGGTTTACTTTAAATATGTATAATTGCAAGATCTTCTCCAAACAGTCCAGCTGACAGCCAGGATGGCTTCCTGATCTAATCCTCTTGAACGATTTGTTCACATGGAAATTAAAGCATCCATCGAGGAAGCGTTCCTATGGGTGATAACTCTATTGGATGCTTGTTTTTGTGTTTTCTGTTTAGCTGTGGGCATTCCACATGTTATAGGCTGTTATAGGGAGGACAGGTACAAGCATAATGTCTGTACCTCTAGTAATAGCTTTCTCATGGTCTGGTGTGCTCTAGTGAGTTAGAGTGCAGCCGCATAATTAATCTTCGGCACTCCAGATCTTTTGGACTACACCTCCCATTATGCTTTGCCAGCATTATGGGCGTAAGAGCATTATGTGGGATGTAGTCCACAACATCTGGAGTGCTGGGGTTGTGTACTCCTGGCCTACACTGAATGCCAGGAATGCCCATTAGGCTCTATTAGCACAAACCACACACACATACATTACACATTAAATCTGAATGTCTGAACATAGCCAGTGGAGATTATAGCTTAGTTGAAAAATGTTTTTTAGATGAGCTATTTTTATTTCCCCTCCGTTTTTCATTCAGATTTAATTTGTGATGTAATCAGGATCCCCTAGCTTTCTAATTTGAAATTATTTTGTGTCAGGACAAGTTGATTGGGCTACCACTTGAGTCCTTTGGCAAGTAGATTTTTATAATAATAATTATTATTATTATTCGCAACTGCTGGTTCCGCTAAGTAGATTTCACTAAGTCATGCTGATACATTAGGTAAGGGATACCCAAATGATAGATCCCCCGATGTTTGTTTTATTACTGCAGCTTCTATTATGCTTTGTCATTCTAAAGGCATGCAAAGCGTCATGAGAGTTGTAGTTCTGAAAACATCTGGGGATCTTCCTTTTGGGCACCTCTGCTAAATTATCATTTTAAATTTGTATTGATTGCAAAGGATTTTGTTGTTTTAAAGGTTTGTTTTTTTTCTTCTTGTTTATGTGATATGCTTCGGTTAAACAAGTATGCATAAGAGTTAATTTTTTTGTTTTTGTGGGGGGGGGGGTATAAATATAGGGTAAACCGGACATCAGAATATTCTCAAAGAATCTATTGCTCGTTTAAATCTGATTACTTAACAAAGTATTATTAGCTAAACTTGGAATTGATAATGTCATTCCAGATTGTTGCGCATATGTGAAAATCAACATACACCCTGAGCAAGACAAAACAATACTCTTTAGTTTACAGCTTTCGACCCCAACTTGCATGATTTCCAGGGAGTAGATACTTTTTTAATCCTCAATTATAAAATAAAAATAAAAATAAAAAAAATACTAATATACTTTAAAATTGCCTGTTAGTTATTGGATATGCAGCTAAGCTGGGAAATTCTCAGATATATTCACGAAGCTTGAATTTATGAGAAAGATAGAAAAAGAGAAAATACCTGAAGATGGCGCAGAAGACCAGGACTGCCCAAGAGCCTGGAGGGGCCCCACACCAACATAACTGACTGCACATCCTGCAATTTAATTTAGCAGTGTCGAAAAGCAGAGCTTCACTGTCCACGGACCCAACGCCTTACGCTAGGAGGGCTTGTGCCTCAGGGATGAAAGGTAATTAAGCCAGTAGAACAACCGCACATTGTACCGTTGTATTTTGGCCTCTATTACCGGTGACATGCTTTCAAATTGTCTAATCTCTTCCACTCTGGCTGCTCAACGGGAGGGGACTCTACTATGCCAAATTAATGGTATTGTTCCTTAAGCAGCGCATAGTAAGTGTGTGACTATGGAATTCTTATACACCTTAATCGACCAGGTTGTGTGATGCAGTAATAACAATGCAAGCAAAAAGTGGAGGGGGGCAGCTTATCAGAAAGCTTGCCAATTATCCTATGGACCTCTTTCAAAAAACTCTGGACCACTGGGCATTCCCAACACATGTGTAACATAATGATATTGTGTTGGGAACACCTTTAACATTGGTCTTATATATGTGGCATCCTAGCATGTATTGACAGGAGTATCTCATAACAACAAATTAACAACTTCTAGGAGAACTCCAGCAGTTGATGCAATGGGTTTATCTATCTGTTGCTTTGTTTTAAGTGTGATTCCCAGCTCCTCCTCCCACTTGCGGACACCTGGATACCAGGGAATGCCTATTCACTCTAAGCATTTAATAAATGAGAGCAATATATTTCGTTGGTGAGGCTTTGGTCTCTAACAGCACCTCAAAAGGGGTAAGCAAGCGAACCAAGCAGTGCTGAGTGGGACACTGGCCAAGATATGTTAAAGCTGCTTGTCAATGAGCGTGTGTAAAAAGGTTGCTGGTCTATGGCAACAGCTAAAACATGCCTGGCCCTATGGTGGGATTTATCTAGAAGAAAGCATGTAATAACGCCCTTGGCTCCAACATGGGAATCTGAATTTCCCCACAACAGAAACAGTGCATGAGTATAGGCAGTTTTTCTAATATTAGAAGAAGCAAGCACAGATGAAAGGTAGAAGGCCAAGTGATGTCAGTATGGAAGCATTGGCAAACTGTTGGCTCCTTATAAGCTAAACAACCTACCATCCATGCCAGATGGATACCAAATACACTTAATAAATGCATTAATAAACTCTCAACAGAGCAACTAATAGAAAATATATGCCTTATTTACAGATACCACTTTCTACAGGAAAGTTATTTTTAATATACATATTCTGTCTCATGCTAAACAGCAGAATCTCTAACATTTTGTTAGAGAAAATGCCAAATCGTAGCAGTGTCTACAGTGTAGCTAGGACAAAGGGATTAACCCTAGTTACGCTCACACCCTGCACCATATAAGCCAAGTACGAGGGATGAATTGTCCAGAGACACCCACAGCTTGGAGGTTTACTTCACACTCCTGGCCACAACATTAGAGAAGTGCAAAGTCATGTAGTTCTTCTCCATGTTGGGTAGAGCCACCTCTCCTTATGCTTTTGCAGGGTTAATTAAGTGTATGGGATTCTTGGGGACTTATACCCCCCCTTAAATTGTTGATTCACCAGTCGAGCCGCTTTGAAAAATGGTGGGGAAATTGAAATAGGGATTGTTTAAAAGAAATAGAGAAGACGAGGGAATATCCTCATCTATTTGAAATTGGAGTGACCCATGCAAGATAGTGGTTTCAAGTACCTGTTGCAATTTATCCAAACTGGGGAAAAATTAAGCTGAGAAGTTGTGATAAATTGGAAGTGAGCCATATGCCCAATTATTTAATTTTTAAGTGGCACCCTGGAATTTTGACTGTGATATTGAAAATGTCTGCTTTTATTAAATTGATCTTCAGGTTGATAGAGTGCCAAATTCCTGTAACTCCTTCATCAGAGTGGACAAGGATAGGGCGGGGAGAGGACAATGTAAAGAGGAGGTAATCTGCGTAGACTATAACTTTATAACAGCCCACCTGAACACTACGCGTCGAGTCCCTCAAGTGAATCCTACATAGAAAAGGTTTCAAGGTCAGAGCAGACTAAAATGGTGGCAATAATGGACAACCCTGTCTGGGTTATTCTTAATGTTGAATGGGTCCATGAGAGCCCCATTGATCCAGACGTGTGCTGAGGGGAGGAGTACAATGCCACAATCCACGACCGGAAGTAGGGACTAAAGCCATACGACTACAATGGGGTATGCGTAAAGCCCCAGTCTTCCCTGGCAAATACCCCCTTGGCATCTATAGGTGGGAACAGAATTGAGAAGTCTGAAGTCTTGGCTATATGGATGAGGTTAAGGGCCATAAATATATTAATCTTTGTTAATGTGAGGTGCAATGAGGAAGCTTGGCCCTACCGAAATGCATTAAATGTGTTTAGATAAAGTAGCCCCTGGGAGAAATGTTTTGAAATATTGTAAGGGGAATACATTGAAACTCAGGGTTTGCAATGTCTTAGAGTTCTTCAGGGCCAGACACAATTCTTCCATTGTGAGGAGGCCATCCATCAGTTAAGAGTGCAATGGCTGCCGACCAAAGATGATGATGTAAAATGTCAAGTGGGGAAACTTATGCAAAGATCATAAAAGCTTTGATATGAGTTCCAGATAGCACCCCCAATCTCCCGAACAGATGAAACATTCAACCTCTTCCATACATAGCTTTCGGTTTGTACAAACCGGAACACAGTTGTTGAAGTAGATGAGCAAGCTGTCTTGCGTATTTGTTTCCTTGGTCATAAAGATTGTGACAGAAATTAAGTGTTTTAAATGTTACATTCAACACCATGGCAATTTGTCCTCTTAAGATCCATCAATGCTCCTTTGTCTATATGGTTCTGGCCACAGCTAGAAAATCAATTTTGTATAAGTGGATTGAAATTGTGGTTCCAACTCTGCCTCGTGAAAATCAAATGTTTCCACACTTTTTCCTATAGATTGGATAGAGTCAGTATCATGCAAATATGAAAAAACTGAAATAAATGTTCCAAATTTGGTAAACCTGTATTAGTTATTAGGATGAGGGCATGCATAGAACCTTGAAGGGATACTGTAGTCACCAGAACAACTAGAGCTTATTATATTTGTTCTAGTGAGTAGAATCATTCCCTTCAGGCTTTTTGCAGTGTGTTTACATTACAGCCTAAGGAAACATCTACTGGCCACTCCTCAGATGGCTGCCAGAGGTGCTTCCTGGGGCATGGAGGCTCTGAACTTTTCTCATAGGGATGCATTGATTCAATGCATTTCTGTGAAGAGATCCTGATTGGCTGGGGCTGTGTTTGGCTTGTGCCGGCTCTACCCTCTGCCCCTGATCTACCTCCTAGGCAGTTTCAGCCAATCAAATGCTTTTTTATTTGAACAAATTGTGATTAACTCAGAATACCACTTCGGGGTATGTCAGCCAAGTTGGCAGATCAGAGTGAAAAGCCAGCAGCAGCAAACTGAAATAAAGGTATTTTGTCATATTAAGAGGGGCAAGTGGTGAGCCAGGGGAGCTAGATGGTAGTTTTAACCCTATAGGGTCAGTAATACATGTTTGTGTTCCTGACCCTATAGTGTTCCTTTTATACACAGAAAAATAGGGGACAATCTGCTAAATACAAATGAAAAGTATTTTAATAACTTACATTCAAGTATAAAACAGCTTGTTTTATACTTGAATGTAAGTTATTAAAATACTTATTATTATATTCTGGAAGTGCACTACATTTTTGTACATTTTCTCTCTTTGCGACATATATACCCATTTGCTGATGACTATGTGAGGAGGGACAACACACTGGATATTGAAAAATACCATTTAAAGCTGCTTTAACTTCATAAAGACATCATTCAAGGCTATTTTAACTCCTCAAAATTGTGAGTGACCATTTGTGATTGCACATCAGTACCAGTCTCCACACAGTTATACGCTATGTTTCTTTATTTCATTTGTATTTAGCAGATTGTCCCCTATTTTTCTGTGTATATCTATTGAAGACAAGAGGAAGTCTTCGGGGATCCATCTGGATACTTCACCTTAAGATAAGGGAAGTCGGGGGCGGAGCCAAGCAGCCAAGCACACCGGACGCACATTACATGGGCTCCGTGTGAAACCGAGAAATTTCTAAAGAAACACACCCACAGAGACCTAAAAACAGTGGCAGGCTTACCTATGGGGCGCAAAAGTAAGAAGCTTAAGCCGGATAAGCCCAAAACGAACATGCACATTGGGGAACTCCTGCGACGAGCGCATGGCGCGAGTGGACCCAAGATGGCCGCCGACTATCCAGACTTCATGGATTCATCAGGTGAATCGCTTCTGGACGGGGAGTCACCCTCCATTCCACATTCCTACCATACCCAGGCTCTTCCACAGAGTGCTGACGCCCAGCCTGTGACAACGGCCACCCTAAAGGAACTACTAGCAGGCCTCCAGAAAACACTGCAGGCCGACATGGCCTCTCTGCGCTCTGAACTCCTGGGCCTGGTGGGACGCATTGAGACCGTGGAAACAACGGCCACGCAACACTCCACACAGATCACCTCACTGGGGGAGGAAATACGGCGCCTTCAAAAGCAGCAGACAACCTTCGAACAGAGGTTTGCCCTCATGGAAGATGCACGACGCCGAAACAACATCAAGGTACGAGGGGTCCCAGACGAAATCCCGGCAGGGGAACTACCGCACATGATGCGGAGACTGCTCTGCGCCCTTCTGACCCCCAAACAGGGCAAAAATGTCCACATAGATGGGACTTTTAGAATTCCAAAGCCACACCAAACACCCGCAACCACCACTGGAGACATAGTGGTACGACTAACCTGCAACAGAGATAAAGCAGCAATAATGGCGGCACTAAAAGGACTATCGCCCTATAGTTTCGAAAATATGTCGCTGACATTTTACAATGACCTTTCAGGGGACACACTCAAATGGAGACACTCCCTGCGACCCTTCACAACAGCACTCAGAATCGGAGACATTCCGTATAGATGGCGTACCCCTCGGAAACTGCAAATCACACAGGGAAACATCATTCACGAGATCCGAGATATGGATGAAGCAACTGCCATGCTGGCAACACTGGGTCTCTCGAAGGACTCACTTACCGGGCCTAGCACAAGAGGGGCCACCAAGCCGTCGCATGTCTGGGACCCAGCAAGAATCACCCCCTTTATCCCGGCGGATGGACGTGCCACAGAAGCAACCTGAGCAGATCGTTTATATTTATATTTTTATTAGTTAAACCTGTTCATGCATATATGTTTAAGTTTACGATATCTGTATAACCAACACAACCTAATAGCCACTGACAGGGGCCAATATGGCCCGACAACAGAGAACCCATAATCTTTCCCCCCCCACCCCCTGCCTCTGCACCCCAAGACAATCCCAAACCCACTCAAGCTACACCCAGAGGCGTAAAATCTTTACGACCCAACTAACCACCCAGATATTGATGACGCACCAACCCAAAACAAGCGCTCCGGAATTTGCGCAGTCTCCAACCCATACACTATGCTGTCCCCTAACATTGACCTCCTACATGACTTACGGAGCGTAGTGATGCCCACACAGAGGCCACAATCCAGCCGGCATAGGAGACACAGGACCAATCACTTCCATAGCCCTGACAGTCCACACCACCTAGAGTACGCTAGGGCCTAAGCCATCATATTATGCATAACCCTGTAGAACCTTTTTGATAACTAAAGTTATTTACGTCACTTATGCTACTACGCAGTAAAATATAAGCCCCAAGTTCCTCAGCCGAGCACAAGCTCTCTGTCCAACATATACGTTGTAACCTCAGCTGCGGATATACACTACACAGCTATGTTTCTACTTTAATGTTATATTCGTTTTAAAAAAACTAAAATGTGCAACTCAAAAATAAAGAATTTAAAAAAAAAAAAAAAAAAGATAAGGGAAGTCTTGGTTTGCTCTTATATTGTATTATTTCCACTGGGGTTGTGTTCACATATATTGTTGTTTTTTTTGTATAGTGTTCCTTTTATGTTTGAACATAAAAATTGGTATCTATATTGTTTTGAAGGGACGGCCTAACACCTAAATACACAACCTGTATTTTTCCCCCATAAGAGCCAATTTGGGGAGGAGAGGTGGGATGATGGTCTTTTTTGGTTTTGGGTTTTATTTTGTTATAACAGAAGTTACATTTATCTGTTAAGATTTCCAAAAACATGCCAACACCTTGTGTGTACTTCCTGTCTTAAAAAAAATGGTTTAAAATTAAACTTGAATTTCACTTTAAATATCCAAAAATTCTCACTTTTTGATAAATATACCTATAGGAACTTTCAAAGCACCATGATCACTACAGTGTGCTGTAGTGGTTAACATGCCAGGAGTTCCCTGGCACTCTTCAAGGGTAAATTGTTTACAAACTGGGTGCCAGTCACCTCTTCCCAGGAGAGTCAGAATGTTGTGCATTGGTTAGAAACTACACAAGGAAAAAAACTTGAATTCTAAAATGACAGTCATCTGTCTAATGTATTTATTTTTAGACAAAATTGTTCTAAAACAGATTAAATATTTTATTAGACTGATAGGTCATCTGGATCATAGAACTCTTTTTGTGTAGATCTCTCGTTGGTTCTTCACCTGCCAGAGTAATCCGAAACTCATATGCTGGTTGTATTCTTAGAGATGGCTTTTTCTGTCGACGCTTAGTTCACACTGAATATTGAACCACATGATAAATAATTTATTTACAAGCACTTGGGCAGACATAATAATTGGCATCCATTCAGTTTTGCATCTTTAATATCAATGTGATGCACAGCCTAAGTGTATTTTACAGTGTTTAATGTTTTTTTTTTTTTTTTTCTTTCTCACTAAGAGATACAATTAAGCATTTACAATAACTACTATTACTTTTGCTATAGTTGGTTCCCATGATGCACTCTATAACAGTGTTTGTTTTGGTTAAGCATCACAGGAGCTATAGGAAATTTATTTATAAAAGGCCAAGTATAGCCCTGAGATTAAAGCGGCACTGGCAATTCGCAAAGACCCCTGACTGTGACAACGCCACTATGGGATCTGGTAGCTAAACAGGACATGTAAAGGGGAGTTTCCTTACCTAAACCTGTCCCTTGCTAGTGCTGCCATATTTGTCCAGTGTGGACCTCCTCACTCGCGCATGTCCTCCTCCTTGCGCATGTGAGAGAGTACAGAATTGAGTTCTATGGGGGAATCCCCCATAGACACAGCCAATTCCCTGCAGTCGCCACTTGTGTCAAGTAAAGTCACACGGAGGAGAAATACAGAGACAAAGTAGTCTCTACTTTGTCTCTGTATATCTCTTGACTGGGTTGGAGACTTTTGTGCTGCTCACTCTAAACTTAACATGATCAAAACAGAATTTCTTGTCTTTCTTCCTTCAAGCGTTGCTACTCCCATGCCTGTCTCCCTCCAAGTCAATGGCACAACCATCCGCTCTACCTTGAACACTTACTGCCTAGGTGTTCTCTTTGACTCCAACCTCTCCTTCACCCTTCATGCCCAGTCCATAGTCAAATCTTGCTGCTTCCATATCAAAAACATAGCACGTATGTGGCCCTTTTTAATGCTGGATAAGATACGGCTAAGGTTCTGGTCTACCTTGACTACTGAAATCCACTTCTCAGTGGTCTTACGCGTTCCCCAACTTGGCCTGTTGTAGTCTATAATGAATGCTGCAGCAAGGCTCATCTTCCTGTCCCACCCGCACCTCCCACGTCTGTCACTCCATTGCCCAAATACAAAATAAATTGACTGTTTAGTAGATATACCCCAATGAAAACTTGCATACATTTAATTATGCCTTTTCATTCTAGTTCTATCTAAAAACAGCTTGCAAAGGCTGCATATCTATTGTCTGCTGGCTTTGCCATCCCTCCCCTTCTAACTCTTCCCTGACTTCCCCAGCTGTCTAATCACAGGCTTTCCAATTCAGCTCAATGAGAAATCTTTGCAAGCCAGGTGCTCTAGGCAATGGCTGCACTGTGCTAACAAAACCAGGAAGTAGCAGGACCCGTTGTCACCTTGAAAGCCAAAGGGGGTGTTACCAGGTCAATTTCTATTGAAATCTGCCCTAAAAAAAAAAAAAAAAAAAAAGAGGGCACACTCTTCACACATATTTTCATCAAGTAAAAATTGCTTTAGAGGTCTGGAGAGGCTCTTTAAGTGTTTTAGTTGTATTTAGGATGTCCTGCTTTATGTCTAGTTCATGATGTGGCACTTTAATAGAATAGGTTGACAGTCAAGAGGGCTTCCTCTCTCAGTATGAGAGAACTATAGTTCAGGGTTAGGGATTGTTAGGTTTATAAATAGCATCATATGTGGTGACACTGATCAGTACGGTAAGATGGATAGTGTCACTTTTACAAATCACATTTCTGGGAAGCAGATAAGAGTATGTGCCTAATAAGATCCAAGTTCTTAAAATAATTGTAAAAGGTGTGTATATATGTGGGTTATTGTTGTACTTGGGAGAAGAATACTATGCTAAGGTATTTGCAGTTGTAAGACATATATACTGTTAAAGTCTGCTATGTTTGTGAAAAAAATAAAATTGCCTAATTTTGCCAAGTGGAAAGACTACCCATATTCCATATTAAATCCATCCTAACATTATGGAGTGCTATGCTGTGCTACAAAAGAGTTTTTATGACATTAAGGTGGCATAGGACCCCTGAAGCAGGCCCTCCCTTTGACTCACATTCCTACCTTAAAGGACCCCTCCACACTTGAAATAAAAAAGTTTAAAAAAACTCCACAGTTTAGTAGATATACCCCCAATAAAAACATGCATGCATATTTTTATGTATGTAGTCATTGGGGGTATAGTCTAAAACAGCTTGCAAAAGCTGCAGTTCTTATGACTGCAGCCTTTGTAAGCCTTCCCCTTTTTCACAGGAAGTGACTTTCAGTCACTTCACAGAGAATTGTCCAATCAGAGGCTTCTCACATAGAAGCCTCTGTTTCTATTCTATTTCTTCTCACCCCAGTCCACAATGTGTCTCATCCCTCCTCTCCATGCATGTCTTCTCCCCTCCTTGTGTCAAAGTCCTCCCTTTTTCCATGTGTCAGTGTATATATTAACAATAAAATACCAAATTAAATTCTATATATTCTATATGTGTATTTTGATATTGATATATATTTCAGAATAGCCCAGCTGAAATACCAGCAATTTTTAATTTGCAAGCCCAATATTTGACCCTATAACTTTCCAAACCCCCATAAAACTGTACATGTACTGTTGTATTTGTGAGACATTTTTAAATACAAATATGAGTGTTTTAGAGCAGTGAAACGTATGATGATGATTTCATCAGTAATAATCGTTTTTTTGTGTGAAAAATGCAAAAAATAAAAACAAATATAAACATATATCTACTTTTGCAAATGGTATAGCATAATGGGAGTGATTTTCATTCCTAGGCTGCATTACGATCTCAAAGTTAGCATAGGCCCAGCAAATCAATCTGGCAGATTTTAATGTATAAAAATTGAAATGGACAATCCCAATATTGACAGTGTAACTTTCCAAAACACCATGAAACGTGTACATGGAGTTCATCGTTGTACTCGTGGGACATCACAAATGTGTGTATTTTATTGCAATAAAAGCTTACCGTATTGTGAAATTCACAGTCAGAACTTGGAAAATAACGCAATTTCTTAATTTCTTACACTTTTATAAATTTTTATTAATATTAATTTGTTTCCTACATACATTTGATATGAAATGAAAGCCCTGTTTTCCTGAACAAAATTATATATAAGTGTGGGTGCACTTACTATACAAATTATGGTTGAACAGACATATAGCTCAAATTCTACGTTTTGTTTTGGTTCAGAACTTGGAGAATTGCCTCTGTCCTTAAGGGGTTAAATAGCCCGGGTTGTCTTGGCATGCCACAATGGAGTTTAAGTGCAGCAGATGGTTACTATTTTGTTCTAAAAGTGACATGAACACAGTAAATGAATCTGAGTAAACTTGAAATTTGAAAACTGAAATTAGCATGTGTGTAATTTAACTCTGTAACGTATCAAAAAACTTGCAATTTTGGGGTAGTAGCAGAATACTAATCTGGAATCTTTCCAGTAGTTGGTCAAAAAAATCTATTCAATTACATTTGAACAAATGCTTGGCAGAAGTTACAAAAAGGCCACAGCCACCAAATTTCAGGGGAAAAAAAAGTCAATCCAGAAGGTGTTGGCACCATAACAACTACAGCGCTCTGTAGTGGTTATGGTACTAGAAGTGCACAGGCAATCCTCCAATGTAAGTAGTCAAACTGTTGCTAATGTCTGCAACTGTCTACAAGGCTCCTTTCTCCTACCAGTACAGATACTCCTCACTTACCGACCAGGTTCCGTTCTTACGACCCGGTTGTAAAACGAATTGGTCGGTAAGTGAGGTCTATGTTCGGGAAAATTTACCCAAACATAGATTAGAGGGATTCCCTGCTCTGGTGCCCTTGAATCCCCATACTAGAGAGCTGATCTGTAAGTGAGAGCCGGCGTAAAACCTGTAGGTCGTAAAGTGAGGACCACCTGTATTGAAAGTCGGAGACTCCAAAGTCCGCCAGCTGATTGCTTTTAGCCAGTGAGCTAGACCCTGCACCGCCAGGATTAGCTCTGTGAAGAAAGCCAGTGCCTCCAGGGAGGTGAGGAGTAGCACAAAACAGACCACAAGTAAGAAGTCAATCCATTTTAGACTTATTAGCTAATCTGGGCACTTGTGAGACCATAGCCACTACAATGCACTGTAATAGGTGTAGTGCTTTGAGAGTTCCTATAAGCTTATTGAGGTGCCTGAACTTCCTTCTTTTGTTACACTGCACTAAATTGGGCATTTAGGATTATGATCCAGGCTTGGTTTCAGGAAATACACGCATGCCACCATACACAGTTTTATGACACTTTACAGGTAAATTTTTTTTTTTATAATTTGAAAAAATAAAAATACTGTTTTAACTATGTCCAGGAATAAGGCTTTACAGAAGGAATACTTGTTTCTTAAACCTTGAAGGATTCCATTCACAAGCTGCACACCCGACAGTCTGTACATGAGAGCTTGGTTAAGGTTCTGTCTTTTCATAAAACCTACTAACTGGCATGCATTGATCTAAGAAGCTTGAAGCATGGAGACGCCTATGTAGTCATTATAATTGCAAATATTGCTACAAGTACATGCCAATTTATCCCCAGTCTACTTCTGCTAGTTTAACAAAGGATTAAAAAAACAACAACAAGTTTTTATGTTTTTCTAGTTTTTCTGCTATTATGTTCACCATATCTTTAATATCGTGTATCCGAAACACTTTTTTAATTTTACTTATCACTTACTATTAAAGGGACACTATAGTCGCCAGAACAACTACAGCTTCTTGTATTTGTTCTGTTGAGTAGAATCATTCCATTAAGGCCTCTTGCAGTAAATATAATCTTTTCAGAGATTCAGATTTTACATTACAGCCTAGTCATTCACTCCACTGACCACTCCTTAGATTGCTGCTAAAGCCGCTTCTTTGGGCAGTGCTGCAGAGTAAGCAGCACTGTCATTTAGTGTCTCATCCCTCTGCATGCAGACACTAAACTTTCTTCACATCTCTATGAGGAGATGCTGATTGTCCAGGGCTGTGTTTGGCTTGTGCTGTGTCTGCCCCTGATCTGCCTCATTGACCGTCAAATCCTATGGGAAAGCATTGTGATTGGCATTTGATCAACACATTTGATGATGTCAGCCAAGCTGGCAGATCAGAGGCAGCAGCAGCAGCAGACTGGAGTAAAGGTAAGATTTTGCTATATCTAGGGGGCCATGGAGGCTAGAATGTGTTTTTTAATTCTATAGGGCCAGGTGTGTGTGTGTGCGCCTGTGAGAGAGAGAATGTGTTTGTGTTTTTCTGACCCCGTAGTGTTCTATTAAGTCATTGGTATTGTATTTGTTTTGTTAGTACAGTGGTTGTGTCCATGGCATATGTGAGAAATATTGCATAAAAGTGAATAGAACTGTTTCTTTTCATTCAGGACTCAGAATGTTTAAAGAATTAAAAAAAAAAAATTAATAAATGGTTTTGTCTTAAGCATTCTATTTATTTATTTTGTGTTCTTTTTTTGTAGATTCCCCATACTGTGAAAAATGCAAAACAACGAAGTGCTAAAACCTGCCAAGTACTTCTCTGAGTTGGAGAAGAACGTCTTGCTGGCTTTGGTGGAGAAATACAAGTATGTTTTGGAGTGCAAGAAGAGTGATGCCCGGACTATAGCTCTAAAACAGCGCACGTGGCAAGCACTGGCCCATGAGTACAACTCCCAGCCCAGTGTGTCGTTGCGGGATTTCAAACAACTTAAAAAGTGCTGGGAGAATATTAAAGCCAGGACCAAAAAGATCATGGCCCATGAGAGGAGAGAAAAGGTGAAACGCTGTGGACCAGCATCTGATAGCCACCAGGCCTTGAAAGACAAGGTGGCAAGCATGATTCCAGAGCAACTCTATTTTGTACCGAATCCACAGGATGATGAATCTGGATACAACCATGACACTTCCAACCATGGTAATGAAATCTCCAAAGAAATCGTATGTCTGAACACATAGTGTAAGGAAAAACTTCAGCATAGGGTTAGTGTCTATGGATAATGGAGTTAGAGGTAAAATAAGTTCTGTCTTATCACAGTGTAGTTATTTGGTGTGAAAACGTATGATGACAACTAAAGCTCAAAATACAGTATTTGTTGGAAATATCCAGGATAATTCACTGAACACCATCCATAAAAAAATGGCCATATTCCAGGTGGAATGGCAATTCTCAAATTTACTAAAGCTAGTTCTGGTTAGAATTCAGCCAACTCTACCGAATTAAAATCTCTGCTGCACAGTGTGCAGCACTGTCATTCGGTGTCTTCACCCTCTGCATGCAGACTCTGAACTTTCCTCCTAGAGATGCATTGATTAAATTCATCTCAATGAGGAGATGCTGATTGACCAGGTCTGTGTTTGAATCATGCTGACTCTGCCCCTGATCTGCCTCCTTGTCATTCTCAATCCTATGGGGAAGCATTGTGATTGGATCAGGCTACCACTTCTGATGTCAGCAGACTGCTTTTTTTTTTTTTTTTTAGGCAAACATGCAGATCTACAGCTTCTGGCTTGAATACAGTAGGATTTTGCTATATTTATGGAGGCATGAGGGGCCCAGGGGGGCTAGAGGGTGGTTTTAACACTATAGGGTCAGGACTACATGTTTGTGTTCCTGACCCTATAGTGATCCTTTAAACCATTTCCACGAACAAGATGTTTCCCTGTTGTGCTTTCTCTTAAAAGTCAGATAACATGTTTCTTGTTATTTGTTTCTCTTTGGTATCCAGACCCTGGCAATTTTATCAACCTCCTGTACCTCTGTAACCTTGACTTTGGCTCAGCTATTGACTTGTGTACTTCTGTTCTCCTTGACCTAGCCTAGTTGTTAATAGTTATAACAATAATATTACTGATTTATCTCATCTTACTCCTGGCTTCTCGCCTATCTCTATTGCATTAAGCCTGACCAACTGTATGGACTGGTAATACTCTGCCCTCTCTCCACTTTAATACTTCTGACCTAAGCTCTGCGTGCAAGGGCATACACCTATCCTGACAGAGGTAAGTAGTCCAATAATAACCAAGAAAATATACATAAGTATTACATTTTGTAATCCTTGTGTGTGTATATATACTTACACACTTATAACAGTGATGTGTCTGCCATTGTACACCCAACAATGTGATACGATTCCTTCTAAACGATCAGATTCATATAAAGATAGCTGAAAGTTTTAACGTGGGTTTGATACTGCAGAGATATCCAATTAGGTATGGAAATATTTGGACACTGATGCCAGTTTTATTTCAGCTGTTTACCAAAACAAGTTCAAGTTATATTTAAATAATGAATATATAGTGTAGTCTCTCAGCTTTAATTTGAGGCTATTCACATCCAAATTGTCGGAAACGTTGAGGAATTGCAGCTCCCTCTTTTTCATGGGACCAAAAGTTATTGGACAGTTGACTCAAAAGCTGTTTCATGGACAGGTTTTGGCTATTCCTTTGTTATTTGTTCACCAATAAATTAGGTAAAAGATCTGGAGTTGATTCCAGTTGTAGCATTAGCATTTGAAAGCTATTGCTGTGAACACTCAACATGCGGTCAAAGGAGCTCTCAATGCAAGTGCAACAAACCATCCTTAGGCTGCAAAATAAAATAAAAAATCCATCAAAGAGATAGCAGGAACATTAGTAGTGGCCAAATCAACAGTTTAGTGCATTCTGAGAAAAAATGAACGCACTAGTGAGCTCTTCAAAACAAAAAGGCCTGGATGTCCACGGAACAAACAGTGGTGGGTGATCAAAGGATCCTTTCCAGGCTAAAGAAAAAACCCTTTACAACATATAACAAAGTGAAAAACACTTTCCAAGAGGTACTCTACCATAAAGAGAAGACTTCACAAGAGCAAATACAGAGGGTTCACCACGAAGTGCAAATCATTCATAAACCTCATGAGTAGAAATAAAAGCTTAGACTTTGCCAAATAAAAACATCTAAAAACAAAAGCCAGCCCAGTTCAATTATTTGGACAGATGAAACCAAGATCAACCTGAATTAGAATGATGGGAAGAAAAAAGTATGGAGAAGGCTTGGAATGGCTCATAATCTGAAGCATATCACATCATCTGCAAAGCAATGTGGAGGCAGTTTGATGGCATGGGCATGCATGGCTTCCAATGGTACTGGGTCACTAGTGTTTATTAATGATGTGACAAAATACAGAAGCAACCGGGTTAATTCTGAAGTGTATAGAGATATATATTGCTCAGATTCAGTCAAATTCAGCACATATGTTTGGATGGCGCTTTACTTTACAGATGGACAATTAATCAAAACATAATGTGAAAGCAACCCAGGAGTTTTTTTTAAGGCAAAAAAGTGGAATATTCTGCAATGGCTGAGTCAATCACATGATCTAAACCTGATCGAGCATGCATTTTACTTTCTGAAGAAAGACTCATGAACAAATAACTGAAGACCGCTGCAGCAAAGGCCTGACACTGCCACTGTGACACAGCCTGGTGGAAATTGACATTTCCATTAATTTTTTCTGACCTCGTAGATCTGTGCCATTATGGCATTGGTTTGTTTTAAAAAAAAAACATGAATGCAATGTATCCTGGAGCTCTCAGCGTGCACTCTACATGCTAAAAATTGTTAGATGTTGTTCAAATCAATTGGGAACAGGGCAGCTCCCTGAGTGCTGCTGTCCTGTCCATTCCCAGAGGTCATATTGCAGGAGGAGGCATGAAATCTGCAGTTACAGTCTATATTGTAAATGTAACATCATCTAATTAAAGAGATAACTGATGCATGTATTTGTTTTAATTTTAAAACTTGCTTTTGGTTGTATTATTTCAACAACAAAAAAAAATAAGTTCAGAAGAGACAACCTGGCAATGTTCTCTAGCTCTTGGTCTAAAATTGTAGTTCCCTTGTCCGTTTGAGACAATTCAGTGTTTAGTGAATAACTCTCATATGTTTTTCAGTCATTAGTGTTTTTTTTTTGTTTGTTTGTTTGTTTAAATATTTTTGAAATGGTCTACTAGGTTTGTGTTTGTGACTAGCTAACCAGAAAAATTACCAATTTGACAGGGTGAGGTAAAAACAACTGTACATAGCTATCAAAGGTATGACTCATAATGGGAAGCCAGCAGTAGTCTATGAACATCAGCAAATATACTTAGCTTATCATTTGGAAAATTTTAAGCTACAGCTTACACTTTAGCTGTAACTGGTCAAAAATTGCTGCTAACCAGATTTAAGACCCTTGAGATAAAGTAGGCTAGAAGGAAGAAAAAAAAGCCTCATACGTGGCTGAGATGAAGATTTTATTGCATTTTCTTACAACTCTATTTTGGCCTGAATTCTGTAAATAAATCCCTTTGTACCTCTAACTGAAGAATACTTTGTGTCACATTTGTGGGGGGGTTTTCATTGTTTTGATAATATCCCTTCCAAGGTGACCTGTCCAGTTGCGTCGTATAGACCAGGAAGGACTAGTAAGAGAACAAATACATGTTATATGCAGTGCCATCTATTGGTTGAAGACTACTTTGCACCTGTAATATTTGCATTTCATGATCGTTTGTGACTGAACGCTTTAGGTTTTTATTGTTTGTGTTTTCTTATATCCTTTTAATGGCATTACCCGCAAAAGAAGTATACCTGGAAGTCGTACGCTCTCTGTGCCAGGCTTCTGCCCACCTCCTTATTATATATACATTGTACAGTGCATTATAATTCTTTTATCTGTAGTAACCCTCCTTATATATTTCTCCCCCCCCCTTGCTACATCCAAATTAAATGCAGTTACCTGTTGCTCTGCAATACCACATATGAAGCCTCAATCTTCCTACTGAATGCTATGACTGATGTAACCTCTTGTATTGCCTTCCATCATAGCCGGATTAGCCATGAGACGACCAAGGCAGTGGCCTGGAGCTCTGGCTCTGGGTGGGCCATTCTCGAACCAGCATGGAGATCTAAGGATCTCCCTACACGGCCCTGCCCTTCCACATTCATGTGAGCAAGTTCCATAGTGACCTCAAAGTCTGAAGTAGAATGATTTCCAGAATGAAGCTACCTCTGGCTGCCTTTGTCCAACTGCGGCTCTTTTGAATGAAGGGCGACATGGGCAACCTTAAGAACATCTTCCTCAAGTCTCAGTAGCTTGTCTAAAGCTTTGGCAGCAAGAAACATAGTTGCATAAGAGATGTCATAGCGGTGTTACTTGGTGAGAAATTGCAGCATGAAGAACCTGTGTAATTGCAGGGTTATTCAAGTGTGAATTGTTTAGAATTCAAAGTGATTTTTAAATTTGAAAGGGTTACTCCAAGCTCCATGACCACTTCAGTGATTTTAAGTGGTCATGGTATGTGAAATCTGTATGTGCAGTGTTTTGCTGTGAAATGCTGCTCATACATGTTTAACCCCTTGACGGCCGGAGCTGTAACTCCACCATTTGGTGGCATCATTGGTTATCAACCAGCCCAGAACTATATTTCCAGTATTTCCAGGCTGACTAATGTCAACTCTGTACAATTTGTTGTTGCAGCAGCTTTAAGATTGTCACAACAGTAGTAGGGAGACTCAGGTGTGACCCATTACTGGGTAACTGGGCCAGGGTATTCCTGGCAGCAGCATAACAACTACAGCAGGCTGAGGTGGTTATGCTGCTTGGAGTAACCCTTTAAAGCCAAAATAGCTGAATCCTATCTGCTGACAAGAAAGCCCTTATTGTGAGGATTGTTTCATATCCACTATCTACAATTTAAAAAAAAAATTTTTTTTTTGCGCTAAATTAAACAAAAATGTTCCGTGTTTTATTTGTACACACAAACTATAACACAGCCCATTAAATTACGCATAATTTTCTGTACAGTAGGGGTTCACAACATTTTTGGAGAAGGGCCTAGATGAATTACAAAAACTCTGTGGCAGCTGTCATATGGTATAGTTGTGCTTAAATCTAAAAAAAGTGATAATTTTTTATCTCCTTGAATCCTCCTAATTTTTTTACCACATGTCGTTCCCCATCCTCTTCACAATTGCTCTATTCCCTTGTGCTTCCAGTTACCACTCCCTGCCTTGTGTCTCTCCCCATTACTTTGTTTTTCCTGTGCCCTGTTCAAATTCCCCCATCCATGTGTCTCTCCATGACCCCCCCCCCCATTTTACATTGACTGTCCTTCCCCAAGCAGCATACTAGGAAGTTGTCTACTTTCAGTGCCAAGCTGCTGCTCACTTCCCCACCATACAGAAATGTGGCTCTGTGTGTGATTTCATATCCAGTCCCCACCTCTTATTCTTCACACACACTGCTGAGCCGTAAGGTTGAGGAAGAGATGAATAAGATCTACGGGTTTGGATTGAGCACTCCTAATGAGTGGTTTTGGTGCATTGACCTTTGCTCTAACCATTGCCTTTTCTGAGAAACCACATTGTTTACTTTTATCTGAGAATATTCCTCTGTGTCTAATGGCCACTAGAGGCACTTGCTCCTTAAGAGGTCTTCACATTCGGCATTATCACACCTTGAGTTGAATGTAGAGTTGAAGGAACACTATAGGGTCAGGAGCACAAACCTGTATTCTAGACCCTATAGTGTAAAAAAACTGTATTTAGCCCCCTGGCCCTCCCCTTGTCCCCTTTAATTATAGTTAAAACCTTATTTCCAGTGCTGCACTGTGCTGGTCCCTCTCCTCCCCCAATCTGATCCGCCTCCTTGGCTGACATCATCAGAATTGATGATCTTAGCCAATCACAATGCTTTCCCATTGGAATGCATTGGATTGGATGAGATCATCCGTTCTAAAAACCTCCGAATCTGTGCATCTTAGTGGAGAAGTTCAGTGTCACTGAACATACTGTGCAGCGCTGACCCAAGAGGCACCTCTAGTGGACTTCTCATGAGTGGCCTCTGGAGGTGTTCCTAAGCAGCAGTGTTTACTGCAAAAAGCCTGCAGGGACAGGATGTAGACACCAGAACAACTACTATAAGCTGTAGTTTTACCTTTAACAAAATGTGTGAGTGTTGGGTTAGGCAGTAGCTGACTTTGGGCAATTTTCTGCAGAGTCTTAAATACTGGGAGTCATTCAGCCCATGTGCACTCACAAACGGGTATCCACTTGCAAGGACTTAATTTCCCCATTCCAGATAGCAAGAAGAAAATCTGAGCTTTGTTATATGTTGTTATTGTTTAGTCGGTCAGTCGTGTCCGACTCCACTCCATATGGACCATAGCACGCCACGTACATCTGTCAGTCACTGCCCCTCTGAGCTCCAACAACTTCATGTTCGTGGCTTCAGTGTCCTCATCTATCCATCTCGGTCTCTGTTGTCCCCTTCTTCATGTGCCTTCAATCTTTCCCAGCATCAGAGTCTTCTGTAGAGAATCCCGCCTTTTCATTATATTGCCAAAATATTTGAGCTTCAGACTCATGATTATAGCTTCCAGTGAACAGTTTATCTTGATTTCCTGTAGTACGGATTTATTGGATCTTCTTGCAATCCAAGGGATTCTAAGCAGTTTTCGTCAACACCACAGTTCAAAGGCATCAATTCTACAAAGCTCAGCCTTCTTTATAGTCCAGCTCTCACATCCATATGTTACTACTGGGAATACCATAGTTCTGACTATGCGGACCTTTGTTGATAATGTAATATCTTTTTAGTTTTTACCAGCTAGCTTGCCATAGCTTTCCTCCCCAGAAGCAAACGTCTTTTAATTTCATGACTACAGTCACCATCTGAAGAGATCTTGGATCCCAGGAAAATAAAATATGTCACTGCCTCCACCTCTTACCCATCTATTTGCCAGGAACTAAGATTGCTGTTTGCCATGATCTTAGTCTTTTTAACGTTAAGCAGCAATCCAGCTTTTGCACTCTCTTCTTTTACCCTCATCAACAGGTCCTTTAGTTCTTCCTCACTTTCAGCCATCAGAGTAGTATCATCACGTGTCTGAGGTTGTTGATATATGCATTGTCACAGTGCATAACGTTTGAACCTGGTAAGTTTGTTAAGGGACAATTGGTTGTTGAAGGTATGCCTTTGAAAAGCCAATTATGAGGTCCCAACTGGAAGTAAGAATCAGTAGGTAAGAGTGGAACTTAAGACTAAAGTTCCCTTTGAATAACTGTGTGCCACCTAAAAACATGGTGTCTGGGATCCAATCTCATTTGACACATGAAACCATCTGTTAATTTGGGAAAACTTTGCAGAGCTTTTATATGTAAGGAGGAAATTCAACTTTTAGTAAATAGTACTTTCCATTTGCTGTACAGTTTTCTGAAGTACAAAATTAAAGCGTTTAAGCAATATTGAAAAGGAATTAAATCTTAGTAATATTTTTTTTACCAGTTTGATTTGTTGTGTGACCTATGAATTGTGTGCTTAAGGTATTTTTATTTTCTTATACTGGGAGTCAGTATATTACTTTATTCAGATAACATTATACAATAAGATTACTGACTTGTATTGAATTGTGATAAAGTACATGTTGATATGTCAATAATACTGCCCTCTGTTTGACTACTAGATATTGACTGCAAGAGAGTTAATCTTTTGGATCTGGAACTACTTATTGATGAGCAAGGCAAGATCCAGACAAAACCATTTAGAAAAGTGTCCGAAACAAATTCATTGTGTGGTGAGGGCTCACCTCCTAGATCATTAGAGAAAGGTAAGTTACAGTATGTCATCTAGAGTTGTCACCAGCATTGGCTTAATTTCAGCAAAAACTATAAATTCTGTGATAGTCTTAGGGGTCAGTCTATAAGGTTAAATTAAACAGATTCTCCCCTGTTAGTTTGAGAGCTTTCCATTCCGTTCCAAAGAACCTTGTTTTTACAGGTTACCATGTATGTGTCAAGGGAAACGTTCCATTTAGAGCAATAGGGGAGGGATTGCTGCTAATGGTGTAATTCTATTATTCATAGTAAACAGAGAAGGAATTCTTTCCTTTTACTGTTTCTTTTTTTATTTTATTGTTATTCAATAACCTGGAAATCATGTGTTTTGATATGATTATAGATAATTTACTTATATGGCTTAAAGGACCACTCCACACCCATAAAGCACTTGCTGAAATGCTTTATGAATGAAGAATATCCTATTTTTGCTCTGAGATTATGAAATTACAGGGGTTTTTTTTATGAGAAATGTGCAATCTTAGAAATAAACTATGAAGGTTTGCTGTCTACTACTTGAGCGCGTCTGCCTCCTCCCACACAGACTCCTCATCTTCGGATCTTCAGATCTCAGAATAGCTTCTTTACAGACCTCATATCAGACGCACGCGTGCACAAGCTGATGTTCACGCATCCGTGCCCACCAATTCAGAGGCTTCTCAATGAAAAGACTCTGGCTTTTTCCTCAAGAAGAGACTGTTAGTCTTTTCCAGGGAAAAGAGGGAAGGCTTGCAAAGGCTGCAGTTCATAAGAGCTGCAGATTTTGCAAGCTCTTTTAAAGGGACATTATAGGCACCCAGACCACTTAAGCTTATTGAAGTGGTCTGGGAACAGTTTCCCTATTGCACTTAGTGCTACAATGTTAAACATTGCAGTTCCAGAGAAATTGCAGCACTAAGTCTGCCTCCAGTGGCTGTCTGTGAGGCGCTTCCTGGATCCTAATGGATATTTGGTCCGGTAACTGATGGATGTCTTCGCTCTCCGTATGAGGACATCCAGCGTAAAATTTTCCCTCATAAAAAAGCATTGATTTAATTCTTTCCTATGGGGATGTCTAATGTGCACACGGTATTTGTTCATTACGGGATGTCGGATGAGGCGGAGCCGCGACCCAGCGCCCAGGATCATCGGCACTGGGGTAAGGTAAGTAAATAAAGGGTTTGTATTCCTTTGTATTTCTTGCACTTATAGTATCCTTTTAAGATCTACCACCAATGAAGAATGCATGCCTGTATTAAATATTTACTAATCAATTAATTATTTTTTTTTTTTTTAAATAAAATCAGTTTGGTGTAGTCCTTTAAATTAGGACTTCCAATTTAAAGGCAATCTGTCGTGACTTAACTCACACATCCCTCTCAAGCACTGTCCTTACAGAGGTGGGTGTTATATTTCTGTAACACCACCTCCAGGCTGCCCTCCCTCCTCCCAGTCTTTGCAGTGATTTTCCCTGCTTGTGAACACTTTGCAAAGTAGGGCAGACCACCTCCATGACACTGACACTGGCTTCATTGCCAGTGGCCCAGTTTCTGAACAAAGTGACGTCAGTTACTCTGTTTCTATACTCCCTAACCACAGCACTAGCAATGTCGGCTTGGTAGTTTCCATAGCAACCATAGTATATGTGCTGTGGTTGCTATGCTTGGAGAGCAGAAGTACTGCTTGTAGGAAGTCTCTTCTGCTCTTTATTAATAATCCATTCTCCAACACAGAGTATACGTCAGGAAAATTGACAGCTGGGAGAGAGACCTATTTTTTTTTTTTAATATATATTTCTCCCAAAACTGCTAGCACAATGTATAGATGAAATTTGATGCTCTTTAAAAAGAGAAAATGTGGTTTTGGCCATGACTGGTATTCTGTAAGACCCCCTCACCCCCTTCTTTTTTCATAATGACATGCACTTGACTGTGTTGGTTATGGGGGGGGGGTTTATGGCACTTTTTGTTTATTGTAATCTTTCTCAACAGCTTTCCATAAAGGAGATCTGGAACTTCTTATCGATGAAGAGGGAAAGATCCAGACTGAACCAGTAAGGAAAGTTCCTCTCTCAGATTCCATGTGTGCTGAGGGCTCTTCTCCAAACAGTTTAAAAAAAGGTAATTTCAAAAATCTTTGCAAAACTATGAGGTGCACTCTGTAAACACTTTGTGTTTTTCAAAAGTTTTATGCAACATTTGTTCATGAATTGTTGCACAGTCATGGCTGTTTAAAGGGACACTATAGGCACCCAGACCACTTAAGCTTTTTGTCCCTATTGCACTTAGTGTTGCAATGTGAAGCATTGCAGTTCCAGAGAAACTGCAGTGTTTACATTGAGCACTAAGTCTGCATGAGCATTCGCTCCCGCTCGTCAAGGGACGTCGATGGAGGCGGAGCCACGACCCAGCGCCAAGGGATAGGTAAGTAAATAAATGGTTTTTAACCCTTTATGCAACCGGGGCAGGTGCGTAGGGGAGGCAGAGGGAGCTGTAGTGACAGGAATACAGCTTTGCATTGCTGGCACTATAGTATCCTTTAAATATTGCCTGTTTCAAATAACTGTAACAAGAGTGATTATCAGCGAGCTTGACACCGTTGTGAAATGCTAGTCAACAGGGCTGTATAGTCCTGTAGAAGGTTTTTGACACCGTTTATAGTCAATACACTAAATAATTGGGTCTCTTCTGAGAGCAAAGATGAGGTTGTTCTTAAAGTGGCACTGTCGTTTTTTTTGTTTCCTTTCCTCTTCCTCTCTGTATATTAATAATTATGATCCCAACATTGCCACTTGTCTTTATTTATATGTATCTTCTCTTTCTATAGCTGGTTCTCTATACTTTGGTGTCTTTATTTTGTTCTCCTCTGTTCATAATGTCTACAGTTTGTCCTTCTGTGGGATTCTTTTGACTGATTGATTGTCGAAAAATTGCCTTATAAGGACACTCCAGACCCCTAATGCACTTTAGCTTGCTAAAAAGCTTTTTTTTTTTTATAAATTCTTTATTTTGAAGTTTAGATGGAGTACATTGTCGGGGTGGGGGTACAGAAAGAAAGTAGGAAGGGTATTGTTCATGGTACATATATGTATTACATTCAGTTTTTGTATACAATGGATTGCTTATCCACGTACAAGTGGAGTTTGGTCAGTGACATTTTTAGCTTATTATTATGCCAGGTGTTCTCTTTCGTTCTCGTGACGGTCTGCAGTCCAGTTTCTTCTAGGGTTCAGGGTGGGGTACAGACATTAACGAGGTGGGGGAAGGGGTGCCCTCTCGTAGTGAGTTGTTGCGTATGTTTTGAGGGTTGCTGTGGCGAGGTCTAGTCTTGCGGTCTGGGTGTCCTGTATCTCGTCGTTGTGGGTATATAGTTTTGGGTGGGTTGCAGTTTTGTTCTGTTCGTGGCTGTTCAGTGTGGTGTGGGGGGTGATGGTGAGGGTCGGGGGTCGGCAAGTGTTGTCCTGGATTTCTGTTGTATTGTTCCCAGGTTGTCGTTGGGGTGGGTATGTATTTTAACGTGTGTCTAGAGTCGGCTGGCCTTGTGGATCTGGAAGGGGGCAAGGGGAAAGGGGGAGGACGGGGGAAGAAGAAGAAGAAAAAAAAATAAAAAATTAATTTGTAAAGAAGGGGGGGTGGGGGGGGAGTCTTTGGGTTGGTATGGTACCCTGATGTGGGGCTTCGTGCGCCCTGTTCCGGGGTGTGCTGGGTGTGTGGGATGCTCAGTGGGTGCTGGGAGGGTCTGGGTATTCGTAGAACCATGGGTCCCAGATTTTATGGGAGAGTTTGGTGGTATCATGCAGTAATGCGGACAGTTCGTCCATTTTAATTGTGTCTGTTATTTTTTGTCTGATCGATTCCATGGTTGGTGTTTCATTGCTGCCCCATTTTTCGGCTATCGCCCTTCTGGCCGCTAATGCTATTTTTGCTGTCAGTTTATTTTGGGCTCTGGGAATGTCAGCGTGTGGTTTCGATAGCAGCCAGATCCAGGGGGTTAGTGGAATGTCTGTGTGTAGGATTTTGGAGACCATGGTTGCTACTTGTTGCCAAATTTGTTTGATCGGGGGGCATTCCCACCATTGGTGTAGATAGGTTCCTTTGTGGCCACATCCCTTCCAGCATAAATCTGTATCTGACCTGCCCATCTGTTTAAGCTTAAGGGGGGTGATGTACCATCTCATGAGCGTTTTGTAGGCCTGTTCTTTGTGATTTACGCAGATAGAGATCGTCGCTGTGGCCTCCCAGATATCGACCCAGTCTGTAGGGTCCTCTGCCGGGCCTAGGTCCCTCTCCCAAGCCGACACGTACGTGAGGGCTCCGTTTTTGACGTTTTGGATAATGTGTGTGTAGAGTGCTGAGATTTGTCCCTTTTGGATTGGGGCTTGCATGCATTGGTTCTTGAAGGCGGTAGGTGCCGTTGTCCCCACTTTTAGATATTCCGGTGTTGCTAGGAAGCTTCTGATCTGTATGTGCCTGAATAGGTCAAATGTTTGGAATGGTGTCGTTTGTGGTAGTTCGGAGAATGGGGTAATTTGCTGGCCCTGGAAGAAGTGGTATAGACGTGTGAGGTTGTTGTCCTCGTAGCGCGTGAAATCCTTGGGTGTCATGCCTGGGGTGAATTTCATGTTGCGGAGTATCGGGGTGAGGGGGGACGGGGATGCGATGAGACCACTTTTGTGTGCAACTTTGTCCCAAATTCTGATTGTGTTGGTCAGGGCTGGGGTGGTTCGTGGCATAGGGGGTCTAGCTTGTTTTGGTAGCCATATGTAGAGGGATGGGTGATCTCTACCGAACATGTCGTGCTCGAGGTCTACCCATCGCTTAACTCCGTAGGGGGCGTGCAGGTGTTGAGCTTGCGTGATTTGCGCTGCTTGATAGTAATGGATAAGATGAGGGAGACCGAGGCCTCCTGCTCTATTTGGGACATATAGGGTTTGCCTTTTTATGCGTGGGCGTCGGTTGGACCATATGAATTGGTCTATTCGCGACTGTAGCTGTTTGAAGTCTGGGGTATGGAGTGGGATCGGGAGAGTTTGAAATAAGTATAGCAGTCTGGGTAGTAGGTTCATTTTGACTGAGGCCAGTCGTCCTAGCCAGGATATCGACATGTTCTGCCAGATAGCTAGGTCATGTGTGAGCTTTTGTATGGTTGGGGTGTAGTTCTTAGAGTATGTTTGGGTGAGGTCTAATGTTAAGGTAACGCCTAAGTATTGGATTTGGGTAGAGTTTAGCTTAAAAGGGTATGTCCTCTGTAGGTGCGCTAACGTGGGTGGGTCTATGTGTATGGGTAAGGCTTCTGTTTTATCAATGTTGAGTTTATATCCGGATATTGCGGCATACTGCTCTAAGGCGTGCATGAGTGGAGGTAAGGAGGTTGTTGGGTCGGTAATGGTTATAAGCAGGTCATCTGCGTACGCTGCGGTCTTGTATTCTTCTTCACGGATTTTGAGGCCTTTTATGGCTGTGTTTCGTCTGAGGTTCTGTAAAAGCGGTTCTAGAGATAGGGCAAATAATAAAGGGGATAGGGGACATCCCTGACGTGTTCCATTGTGTATGGTGAACATAGGTGGTTGTGTGAGGGGAAGTTGGAGACTGGCCCTCGGTGAAGCGTATAGTATTTGTAGGGTTTCTAGGAAGCCCGTGGGGAATCCGAATTTATGTAGGGTTGCAAACAAGTATGGCCAGAGCAGCCTATCGAAGGCCTTTTCTGCGTCAAGTGATAGTATTAGAGTGGGGATCCGTTTCGACGTTGCGGCCCATATAAGGTTGTATGTTCTTCTAGTGTTGTCGCTGGCCTGTCTTGTGGGTATAAAACCTACTTGATCGGGATGGATCAGTTGAGGTAGATATGGGCATATCCGATCTGCCAGGAGTTTAGTGAATAATTTTATGTCCACGTTAAGTAAGGAAATGGGCCTATAGTGTCCCGGGTCTAAGTGTGTTTTATTGGGTTTGGGAAGGAGGCAGACTGTGGCCTGGAGCATCTCTTGTGGTAGTGGGTCACCTTGTAGTATGGCGTATAAGTTGCAGAGATGCGGGGAGAGTGTGGGGGCAAATGTTTTATAGTACACTCCTGTAAACCCGTCCGGTCCTGGGCTTTTTTTTGGTTTGAGCGATTTCATGGTGCCCGCGAGTTCTTCTGGTGTCACCGGATCCATTAGTTTTTGTGCTGCTTCGTTTGGCAGGGACGGCAACGGGGTATGTGTTAGGTAGTGGTCGATGAGTGTTTTGGTGGTGTTTGGGTTCTGCCTTATATCGGGGTTGTGATCATATAGGGACGTGAAATAGCTTTGGAAAACCTCTGAAATCGTGGTGGGGTCTTCTGTTATGGTCCCATTTGGTGTGGCTATTTTAGTTATTTGTTTCTGGGCTGTGCGGTGCCTGAGTTTTCGTGCCAGTAGAGTGTCGGCTTTGTTTGCCTTATCATAAAAGAGTTGTTTCGTCCACAGTAGGGCTTTTGTCGAGTCTTTTTTCATGTGCTCTTTGATTTCCGTCTGACATTTCGCAATTTTGGCCGCCACTTCTGGCGTAGGGTCGGATTTTAGTTTAGTCTCTAGGGTTCGGAGTGTTGCCAGGGTGTGTTCCAGGTGAGAGAGTTGCTTTCTCTTTTGTATGGTTGCTTGATTTATTAGTGTCCCCCTAAGGACTGCTTTGTGGGCCGCCCATAGGGTGCATTTGGAGTCCACTGAGTCTGTGTTGAGTTCGAAATATTCGGACAGGGCCTTTGTGACCGTTGTGCGGATCTGTGGGTTATGGAGGAGAGTGGGGTTAAGCCTCCATGTCCACGGTCGGGTGGTGCCTGGGATAGTGAATGTTAGGGTGGTATCTGCATGGTCGGACCAGGTAATCTGGCCTATGGACGTGTTCTTGAGCGAGGGTGCTATCGCCGGGGATATTAAGATAAGGTCTATGCGGGAGTGTGATTGATGTGGGTGGGAGAAGAAGGTGTAATCTAGTGTAGTGGGGTGTTGAGATCTCCAAGCATCTATGAGGTGGGTCCGGTCTAGGAATGTTGCAAAGAGTTTGTCGGCTTTTGCCGTCGGGGGTCGGCGTTGTGTGTGGGTTTTGGCTCGGTGTCTGTCGACGGTGGGAGATGGAGTAGCATTGAAGTCTCCTCCGACGATCAAGTGGTGGTAGGGGAATAGTGTCAGATGTGCTCTAAGGGTGTTCCAGAATGAACTGGTGGGTATGTTGGGTGCGTGTACTGAGGTGAACGCATATTGTTGTGGTCCGATTTTGCCCTTTATTGTGAGATATCTACCCTGTGGGTCGGCTATGGTGTGGGTTACTGTGAGGGGGCATGACTTCCGTGTGATGATGGCGACTCCGTTTTGTTTGCCCGCCGGGGAGCTGGCGAAGTAGTTCACCCGATAGTGTCGGCTCAGGAGAGGGAACTGTTTGGCTTTGGTGAAGTGCGTTTCCTGGAGTAGGAGGATATCCGCCTTTGTGTTATTGGCCCACCTCATGAGTTGGTGCCTTTTGGAGGGGTTGTTTAGGTCTTTGCAATTGATCGATAGGCAGGTCAGAGTGGCTGGCATCTTTCGCGGGCTGGGTGTTTGGGTAGGGATGGGAAAGGGGGGAGAGGAGAGGGGGGAGAGAGAGAAGAAGAAAAAAGAGAAAAAAAAAAAAGGGGGGGTATTAGTTTGTAGCTAGGGGTTATAGAATAAACATGCCTTGTCTTACTAAGCTGCTGCCAGGCGTCGTGTGGGCGGAGGGTGTTACGTCTGTAGGCTTGTGTTTTCTGTGTATGGTTTAAGTCCTATCCACGGCCTCTGTCCCAAGTTGGATTGGGGAGAGTGTCGGGGGTGTGTCGTCCGTGTGGGGTCGTGGGGAGAAGACGGTCGGAATACCGGGCGCTGTCCTCCCCGGGATACTTCGGTTGTCGGATTTTGCTGTTTCGCACGGTGTGGTGGGGGGTTGGTCCCTTATGCGGTTTGTGGTCTACCCTGGGGTGGGTTGTTATGTGGGTTGGTTCGGGGAGTAGTCAGGTGTGGGTGTGTGAGGTTGTCTTGTGCCACTGAGGTCTAGGTGTGGGGGTATTTAGCCCCTGTGGTGAGTCGCTCAGCCTATAGGGGTGTTCCAGAGTCCTGAGGGGGGTGGTGCTGTGGCAGTCGTCATTTTTGGTCTGTTGGGGGGGTTTGGTGTGGGGACCCCTCGGTTGTGTGTTCGGTGGGGGGTAGGGCGTGGCGCGGGGTCTGGTGCCCTTGATAGTTGGGGGTTGTTATGGTGTATGGCTTGGCGGTTGGTGGGGTTGGTCTGTGCGTGAGTGAGGTGTCCCTCGGTCCTCTGTGAGGAGGTCTGTGGTTTTCGCGGTGCCCTGAGTGATGTCTGAGTGTTGTGTTCCTGCCATTCTCTAAGTTAGGGAGGTCAGCTATTGGGGGTTGTGGCTAGCTGGGGTGTCCTGGGTTCTCCAGGTCAGCTGGTCTGCTGTGGGTGTCGGTGGTCCTGGGTGTGTATCCGGTGCGGTCTCAGTCCCGTAAGTGGGCCTCATGTCTCGTTGGTAGGGGGGTGGTCAAACGTCATGTCGAGGTCTTGAGGTCTGCTGTGCGTGGGTGGCATCGTGTGCCCGATGAATGGATTAGTAGAGCTTGTAGTAGGATGTCAATAATGACCCTTGGCAGTAGCAGTTAACAGCAAGCACGTCCGTAACAGTATAGCATTTAGTAGAATGCAATTAACACATTGGGTGAGTGACCTTTGACAATAGTCGTTAAGCATTGAATTAGTCCATAACACTTGAGCATTTAGTGGAATACAAATAACACATTGGGTAAGTAACCTTTAACATTGGTCGTTGAACCTTTAACCATTCTATAACATTAGAACACTTAGTAGGGTGCGGGGAACACATTGGGTAATGGGCCTGCTACCTTTTGCCTGAGACAGTGTTACATTCCTAACTGGGTCTCCCCTCTGCGCATGGTGTCAGGTTGATTTGGGGGGGTATGCTTGTTACCTCGTGGGACGGACGCGGCGACGGCGGGAGGGCGACCGGTGTGCTGTTCGTGCTAGAGGGGTCCATTGCCCTCCGGGTTGTTGGATTGGCGGCCTGGTTGGTGGGGTGCCTGTGGTGTTTAGCATACGAGGCAGATGGCTGCAGGGGGTAGACCTTTCACCGGCCGCCCGCCGCGCCGCGCCCCGCCCCCCCTTTCCCCCCCCCTCCATGGACCCTCCGTTGGTTACATGGTAGCGGTGGCGCTAGTGTGTGGTGAAATAAGGGTTGGTGGGGGTGTGGTATTTAACCCCGGCATCTCCATGAGTCAGGTATGAGGTGTGGAGTATAGGGGTTTTTCTCAGGCTGCGCTTAGTCACGTTAGTGACTGCACAGGCATATAGGATTTTCTATGAATTAAATAAGGTAGAGATTTCCCTCCCTGCTCTCTTGGCGGTCATGGCAGGGCCATATTGGAATGTAGATGGGGGTTGCCCATCTCGGAGTTTTGTGACGAGAAGAGGGACTGGAGTTACGTGGGTTTTCCTTCCCTCCTGTTGCGGGTTTATATGGCCCGCCCTGGCTTAGACAGGAAACAGGTGTGGCATTCTAAATGAGGGTTTTTGCATCGTTGTTTGCGATGTGATGTGATGCCCCCTGGTCTGGTGGAAGCAATACGTGATATGCCCTGCGGGGGTTATGTGCGTGTTTGCATTCCCTGAGGGTGCGTGGTGGTTCTGTCCATGCGATTGGCGTGTCCCCAAATGTGATGGCCCTGTGTGGCTGTTGTAGGGGCGTACCCCTTTAATGCGTGGGTGTGGGGAGGGTTCTATATCTGGCCTTTGGGGATCTATCTTGTATGCCCTGAGCCCAGTCTCACGTGTGTAGGTTGTGGTCGGGCCTGGGAGCGGGAGGGGGTCCCAGTGATGGCTGTGTCAGTTTCCGCTGTGCGGTGGCAGGGCTATTCCCTTTGTCTAGGTTATAAACTTTAAACAGTATAATAAATAACTAATAATAAACAATAAACTGGATACTTAAGGTTTGGAGCTGGATTAGGTTAGGAGAGTCTCTTGTAATATATTCAGGCCTCCCGTTGTAGCTCAGTTCAATTGTTCATGTGGAGTTGTCCATTAGGTACGGAGTGGGGCCTTGACTTGGTCTGTTGTCTGGGCTGACGGGGTCTCAGCTCGCTGTGTCTGTTGTTCTCCGCGGGTGGGTTGGTAGCCGGTGTTGGTTGCCGCAGTAAGAGGCCGATGTGGGTGGCAAAGTCCTGCATATCCGTGACTTGATGTAGGGTGTATGTTTGATCGCCCTTTTTGACGAGAAGCTTAAATGGGTGGCCCCACATGTATCGCCAGCCCTTCTCCATGAGGGCGGTCGTGAGGGGCTTGAGGTCCCGGCGTTTCTTCAGGGTGGTCGGTGCCAGGTCCTGGTAGAAGTGCAGTGTGTGCCCCTGGTAAATTGGGGGGTTGTCTCGTGCTGCTTTCATGAGTCGTTCCTTTATAGGGAAGTGCAGGAGTTTGGTAATGACGTCCCTGGGCGCATTTAGGTTGAAGGCTGGGGGGCGCAGGGCCCTGTGCGCACGTTCGATGTAGCGCTCCTGTTCAGATGTGTCTGGTAAGATTGATTGGAAGATTGTTTGGACCGTAGGTAATATAGCATCCGGCTGGATAGATTCGGGCAGGCCCCTAATTCTTATATTCTGCCTCCGCGATCTATTATTTAGATCCTCTAGGCCGTCCTCCAGGTATAATACCCTTTCCTGCAGTGTCTCAATAACTCTGGAGTGTTGCGTAGTTGCGGCCTGTGCTTCTGTTAGCCTTTTTTCCGTGTGACTAGTGCGTGAGGCCAAGGCTTCAATGTCCTCCTTGAGGCCTGCAATTTGTTTCTCTAGGGCGGCTGTCGTGTAGGCCTTTATGTCGTCCGAGGTCTCTCTGAGCATCCTTCTTAGGTCTTCCTTTGTGAGGGGTGTCGTTTGTTCCTCAGTGGGGTCGTACCCCTCAGAGTCGGAGCCCGATTCCATGGGGCCTTGTGATAAAGATGGCCGCCCGCTGTCCTTACCGCGGAACATCGTGGCCACGGACGGAGTGGTGTCCCGCCTTTTTTTATTGCCTCCCATGGGGTAGGTGGATGGAGGGTATGTGGATCGGTGGTAGGGTGGATTATGGGGTGAATTGCCGTTTCAGCGTCGCTGATGATAGCGGATAGTGATCCCGGGGTCGGAGAGCTAAGGGCTCACACGTCCGTCTCCATGAAGGGTTAGGCTCCGCCCTCCGCTAAAAAGCTTTATGTGTGAAGAGTGTGCCCTCCTTTTTTTTGTTTTGTTTTTTATTTTGCAAATAGTGCAGATTTCAATAGAAATTTACACTTTTCTAAATTAACCTGGTTACACACCCTTAGCTTCCAGGCAGACAACAGCTCCTGTCACTTCCTAGTTCGGTTAGCTTAGTTGCACTGAACTCAAGACGCAGCAGTTGCCCAGAGCACCTGTCTTTTTGAAAGACTTCTCATTGAGCTGCATTAGGAAGTCTGTGATTGGATAGCAACAGAAAGGCTGGACTGGGTTAGAGTGGGAGAGCTTGCAAAGGCAACACACAAGAGAGCTGCAGGTTTTGCAAGCTGTTTTTATATATACCACAAATGAAATAATCCATTATTAAATGCATGCAAGTTTTAATTTCTGGTATATCTACTAAACAGTGGTTTTTATTTATTTTGTATTTGTGCAGTCCTTTTAACAACCAAAATGGAACCTTGCTTCAGCTGCCAATAGCCAGACTATACTCCCCCTAAAACAGTAGCCACTAATTATTCTTATGTATAACTAAACTAAAGTGAATTGCAAAAAATAAAAACATAAAGGAGCAGAAAATGATTTAAGAACTAAAGCTACAATATTACAGAGGTACTTTAAGGTATGTAGTATGTGCCTGAAACTGACATCCCTCCATCTACCTATATCAGACAATCAACATCAGTGGATACAATCCCTTTGCTTGTTTCATACCACTTCATATGAATAATTTGTTATATATGGCTAGATTGTAACAATGTTAGGCCGTCCATGCAGACCAATGAATATTAAATGGACACTAAAGCTACCAGAACCACTATAGCTTAACCCCTTAAGGACACATGACATGTCCTGATTCCCTTTTATTCCAGAAGTTTGGTCCTTAAGGGGTTAAAGTAGTTATTCTGGTGTGTATAGCATGTCCCTGTGGGCTTTTTAATGTAAACACTGCCTTTTAGTTTAGACCGCCTCTAGATGTGCTTCCAGGGTGGAGCTGCTCAAACAGACGTTCAGTGTCTCTACGCTCTGCATTGAGATGCTGAACGTTCCCCATAGAGATGCATTGATTCAATGCATCCCTATGGAGAGATGCTGATTGGCTCAGTGCAGCGTTGGCTGAGATTGTCAATTTTGATAATTTGAGCCAAGGAGGTGGCGCAGGGCAAGCCGCGACCGGATCTGCACAACACTGGAATAAAGGTGAGTTTTACACCTTTTAATTTCCTTGCAGTGGGCAGGTGTCCTAAATAGTGATATTAGAACTATAGTGTCAGGAATACATGTTTGTATTATTGATACTATAGTTTTCCTTTAAGGAGCTCGCAATTAAAAATGTTTAACTATTTAGTAGATAGACTCACAAAGAAATATGGAAAAACTGTTTGCAAGCCCTATCATTGGCACCAATCAGAGGCGTTTCATTCTTAACTCATTTGGGCTCTCAGCTTTCATATGCTTCTCAATGAACTGTAGTAAAGTGAACCTGCTGCTTCCGATAGTTCTGTGGCACTAACAGCAGCGGAAAAACATCTCCCTGGCTCACACTCTGATGTCACTTGTTTGCTTCTGCCCCCAATTTAAAAGTACCGATTTCTATTCTGAACTGTGGGGAAAAAAAACCTGACACATTCCATACACATAAAGCACTTCAACAAGCTTTATGTGTTTAAAATGTACCTTTAATACCACATATACAAAACAGAAAAACATGTTAATTTATTTCCCTATAGAGGTTTTGTGTATATGGAATATTATTTAACATGCACCATTTTTATGTATTTTTCCTATTCTGTCCTTATGCTTTATCTGTGTATCTCTTTTACAGTTTATTTTTTATATTTTTTGTGGTCACAATTTTGTTTTTTCCTGCAATGTTCATGTTACATATTTGGATGCAAAAATTTATTTGTGTAATATATATTTTTGTCATGCATGCAGGGGAAATTGGGCAAACACCCCTTTACCAATACATTTTGCAGGGTAGTGGGTGAAAGTAAATAAAGTTTTAAAAATAGAAGATGTGTTACCAAGGATATTAACACATTCATTAGTTATCTGTTTCCCAGATAGCTAGGAATTCCAAGCTCCAGGTCAGATTGTCTTATCTGGTTTTCCCTTGTAGTAACAGCAGTGTCTTCCTCCCTTCTTACAGGCCTACTGTACCTGTTTTCTCACTTTCATATTTGAAAATGGCTACAATAAGTTTTCTTTTGGATCAACAGCATAAAAGAATGGTTGAACTAGTTGGACTTTTTTTCACCTTATATTACTATCTATCTATGAACATACTTAGACAAAATGATCTGCCGTTCCTGAGATGGGCCTCTTGAGGCAGGTTTCTACAGCCATAATTATATGTATGTGATAGATATTACCCTAATTCTGTCTAATTTATTGTGTATCCCTATATTTCTGTGCAGCTTTCCATAAAGGAGACCTGGAGCTTCTTATTGATGAGCAGGGGAAGATCCAGACTGAACCAATAAGGAAAGGTCCTCTCTCAGATTCCATGTGTGTTGATGGCTCATCTCCAAGTGGTTTAAAAAAAGGTACATTTCAGACACACTTGCAAGAAATGGTATACAGACATTAGTTAATTATTTCACTAAACTTAAATGTATCCTTTTTTTTATTTTATACATTAGGGAGACACAATACACAACCTAACCTCTGCAGTTCGCTATAGTACTTAGACTGTGTAGAGTCCCTTGGCACTGTCCCTTGGTTTAATATCGAACAGTTTAAGAAAAGTTTTATATAAACCAGGATTTTCCTGTTGCCAAGCATTGTCAATTTCATCCAACCTGGATGGCATATTGGCTGACTGTTCCCTACCATAAGATGCAATAAGGATTCTATCCTATTGTGTTCTTAAGGTGCTTCCGTAACAGAACACAAGTATTGGATGTTTACAATAGTGGGACACACATGCTCTGTGGATTAACCTAAAATAAAACACGTGTGAAAAAAAAAAAAAAATTTAAAATGTTAAAATGCTCTTGATTAAATGGCCTGGGGGATGTACTTTCTACAAAGATATATTTTATGTAGCGGGATTGCCAAATATTGCCATAAAACTATAATTCACTCCTTGCAATATTTATTTTATTAGACATATTGAGCATTTTGACAATCAAGAATAATTAATCTATTTTGAGTTATATTTTTTTATTTGCGATTGTGTAGAAATTATTAACTGTAAAACTGAGAAAAATGTGTTTTTTTTTTTTTTTTTTTAATTTAAAAATATATTTATTCATAATCTGCATTACGTTATGTCAACATATAGGGTTTCGAAAGAAAGCCCTATTTCTCCTTTGAAAATGATTTCTAATTGTATGGGTCACATACATACAAGGGTTACATGTCAAGAGCCTTGGTCATTAAGGTGTTAAAAGGACTAGCACTCTTGCACTTCCCAAAATGACTAAAAAGTCCAAGAATGCTGGTACTTGGAGACCTGGCATGAGCACTAGGCAATATTACTTGCAAGCTGTGAGTGCTCCGTTTGTACTGGAATATGTCCCAAGACATACTTCTCTGGAGATATATTTGTTTCTTCATATGAAAGTATGATTCCTTCCTTTTTTTTTTTTTATTGTTTAACCAAATCTCAAATAGGATGCGGATTTGCATTAGCAGACAATTAACAGAGCAGGACTAAATACTGTTTGCTTGCGGACACTCAAAATTCGATCAGGTTCCAAACTGAAGACTTATTTTCAGGAAGTGTGTAGGGAGGTTGAAGAGGCATAATCCATACACCAAAATGACTTCATAAAAGGAACACCATAGCATTAAGAATACAGGCATGTAATCTTAATGCTATAGTGCTGGACTACCTATTTAAGTATTCAATGGCCTCATCTCAATTGCTTAGATGATCGATCTCAGCCTATCCAATATTTTTCCATAGGAAAGCATTGGGAGGCTACTGTGCCTGTGCTTTGACTCAATCCATCTCTATGGGGAGAATGTATCATCTCCATGCATGCAAAGATTGCAGGACCTAACTCAGGAAGTCCCTCTAGTGGCTGTCCGAGTGACTACCACTAGAGGTGTGACTAGGTAGCAATGTAAGCACTGCATTTTCTCTGAAAAGGTAAAATTTATATTGCTGAGTCTGCAGAGACCTATAGCATGGGTGCCAAAAAAGGTAGATCCCCAGATGTTGTAGAAGCTGTAGTTTTAAAACATCTGGAGATCTACCAGGTCTATAACCTGGTAGATCTGGTATAGCACCCCTGGTCTATAACCACCAAAACCACTACATTAAGCTGTAGTGAATCTGTTGACTAAAACCACTTTAGCCTAAAGGGACACTATAAAGCTTTGACCGGTCCTTTAAATCCTACTTTGTTTGACTGCGGTGGGTACAGTGGGATCCAGTGGGGATGCTAATTTATAATTTCTATGTACTGCCTTTATGCAATGTTTTTACCTGAACTTTGTGGTAGCAGTGTTATGTACAAGCCATTTTTTTTTTCTGGGAGAAATATCAATGGAAACAAATGGAATGTTACTGATTACTCCATATTTGGATTTGTTGGTTTATTTTTATTTATTTTTTACATATATTCAGCATGTTTGTGAAGACAACCCTTTTTTAAAAAAATTTTTTTTATATATATATAAATCCCTATAAAATAATAATATTTGTTTTTTCCGTTTGTCGTTTTGTTGAAAAGATATACATGAGCATGTAAATCTTTTGTATGTTTAAAAGAACAAAGAAAAGAAAAAAAAACATTTGAAATTGCATGTTGTGTTTTTCAGCGGGCCGAGGGAAGAAAATTTCCCTTTTCACTTCATACTGTGTCTTACAGCAGCCTCCTCAGGATGGTTTCGAGAGTGAGTGCCAAAACAAAATGCTTCCTCCCCATCTGCTGACAGACAGTGCATGCAATTTCAAATATCTTAAGTTCTATCCAGGTATATACGCATTTACATATATGTTGCTGAATTGTTTTAGATCTGATTTTCAAATTCAAAATGAAGGTTCTCCTACGAGGTACAACCATGTCTCTAAAGCATAAAACTTGAAACTAGAATATCTGTAAATCAAATGCCTTGAGATGCTAGTGCATAATTCTAGTTTGAAAAATGTTAAAATATCTATATTGTGAACAGATCTGGCTCATTTACAGTATTTTATGTAAGCAAAGTCATGTTCAGTATATTTTATACAGCAAACACTCTGTTTTCATATTGGAGCTTTAATTTTTGTTTTCCCTATTGTTCCGCATCGAGATTTCAGTAATGCTCATCCAGTCTAGAAACTGGCTGAGCATCTTGGGAGGCACAATCCACAACTGCTGGAGTGGTAAAGGTGGATATAAACAGCACCTGGTTTTAATGCACCTGAAATGGAGAAAAATGCTATTGGTGCACATTGAAGAACAAACAATATAATCTTTTTAAATGTCTGTGAAATAGGTGAAGATAGTAGAACTGTCTACTTAATCATATGTAGAATGTTTACATATAGATTACAAGTACATTAGATGGTTATTGTGCACCTGTTATCCATTGTTGGATATGGGATATTAACCATTTTTATCCCATTCAGTGGAAAAGGAACTGAGGCAAAATAAAATTATTTATACATTTAATAGCAATGTATCAAGCACATCATGAGCCAAATCGTATTCATTGATCAGTATGACTGGTTCACTATATTAATATTTGAATAATTTCTCAACTGTATGTCCCCTTTTCCTTATATAATATTTATGCTTCTGTCCTAGATTCCTTTGTTGTTCCAGACCGAGACCTGTATGTGGAAGAAAAGGCTTTAGTCAACATGCATGATTGTGAAATAACACCTCATCCAGCGCCTTCCTGTTCATCTACTAGGATAACTGGTAACAGGACCTACAGGAGCAAAAATACTCATGATAACATGATCAGAAAAATGCACGAGGAAGAGCACCACCAGCAGATGTCCATCCTTCAGCTCCAATTAATACAAATGAATGAGGTCCACGTGGCCAAGGTGCAGCAGATAGAAAGAGAGTGTGAGATGGCAGAGGAGGAGCACCGAATAAAGATGGAAATCCTGAATAAAAAGAAAATGTATTGGGAAAGGAAACTGCAAACAATCACCAAGGAGTGGCCAGTAGCTTCGTTCAACAGGCCCTTTCCCAATTCACCTTGAAGTTTAATTTGATGGTGGTGAGAAAGAAAAGGATGTTTAGGACAAGTTGGCAAAGCACTCTTAATGTAGATAAGCCAAGGAGTTGAACAATCAGTAGGCCCAGACACTGGCGACGATTTCTGTGTAGGAAAAAATAGTTACAAACAAGAATAAAATACAAAAAAAGAAAAAAACATAAAATGTTAGGACATTACATGAGCTGGTATTGGTTGTAAAGTCTTTTGGTTTTAGTAGTAGTTTAAAAAAAAAAAAAATATACAACCAGCCTACTTTATACTACAATGACAGTGCTGCTTATGTCAACATAAGCTTTACACTCTCGTGTTTCTACCCATGGACTGTAACCTTTTTGGAGTTGTTTTCGTAACACTTATTTTACTGACATCAAATCCACTTTTTATTATTATTATTATTATTTTTATGTATATCAGTCCCATGTCGGTTTTATGCATTTGTTTGGTACATCAGTTGGGTATAATGTGGATAAACACTATCCATTTATTAATCCAAATGGGAATTGTGTGATGATTTTTAAACCAGCCACCTGTTTAGAAAGCCAGGGATCAGAATGGCGTGGAGTGGTTCCAGCAAATGTTAGGTGTTTTTTTTTTTTTAAAATACTACCCAGTTTATGGTACAAGTGTAGTGTAAGCTAACTTTTATTTCACTCATATGAAATAATGTTTACATAGACCTCCAGTGTAAGTGATATATGGCTTGAAGTTGGTTTTGTTATTGATTCCAGAACAGTATTCATTATAGTATGAGGCCAAAGGTACAAACTAGTCTTACTAGTATTACATTATCAAATTCTTCAATAAGACAAACTTCTTACTTTACAAGCACTAAAAATGATTTGCTGTTGATTGATTTTTTTTGTGTGTGTATATATATATATATATATATATATATATATATATGTGTGTGTGTGTGTGTGTGTGTAAAACAAACTTTGGCTGCACTCATGGTCTTAGATAGAAAAAATTCCTTTATTCAAAAGTTGTGATCCATAGATCGACGTTTCAGTCCTCTCTGGGACATTCCTCAGGATCAAAATACTCAGAGGTATCCTGACGAAAGTCCCAGAGAGGACTGAAACGTCAATCTATAGATCCCAACTTTTGAATAAAGGAATTTTTTCTATCCAAGACCATGAGCGCAGCCAAAGTTTGTGTTTTACTTGAATAAAAGCCCTAAGGTTTGGCATATACCTAAGGTTTGGATATATATATATATATATATATATATATATATTGCCAAACCTTAGGGCTTTTATATATATATTGCAAATGGGATAGGCTAGGAATTTGGAAGTTAAAAGTTCCTTACTTTATTGGTAAATTAAAACATGTAGATTGATGTTTCAGTCCCCATCCAGGACTTTCCTCAGGATCATGAGTGAGTGCTAGCCTATCCCTATTTGCACTATTTGGATATTGAGCCCTGGGCTTTCAGCACCCGGAAAAAATAATTGGAGCCTGGAGTGCAAGGAATTTCTAAGTCTTTGTATGTATATTTGTGTGTGTATATATAATATTGGGTTGTGTAGTCGTTTTTTTTTTTTTTTTTTCATTACTGTTCTAGGCCAATTCGCTTAATTAAAGGAACATTATAGTGACAGGAACACAAACCTGTATTCCTGACACTATAGTGGTAAAATAAATATTTAGGTCCCTGGCCTCCTCTCTTTACTATAAAAAGATGACTTTACTCACCTTGTTTTCCAGCGCCACACCACTCTCGCTGCAGCTGGCCCTACCTTGCTCCACCTCCATGGCTGAGAAAATCATTTTTGATTAGGAGGCTATTGTGCAGGTACAGCACCTGTAGTAGTTAGCTGAGTGATTTGTTACTAGAGGTGTAACTAAGCAGTAATGTAAACCCTGCCTTTTCTCTAAAAAGGCAGTGTTTACATTAAAAGGCCTGCAGGGACAGGCACCATTTATATTGCTGAGTCTGCATAGACAGTCTATAGTCTCCAGACCCACTACATTAAACTGTAGTTGTTCTGGGCACTATAGTGTCCATTTAATATCGCTATGTCCTACACTGGCACGCTTTGCTCAGGCAGGTAGCAGTGTTTTGGCTACCTACATATAGGGGAAGGGGGTTGCAAGCGCATTTCTGGCATTAATACCACTACAGCTCGCTGGAAGTAATATATTTAGCATGTGCAAGAAGTGGACGTTATTAGGATGGTTTTGGTAACACTAATTTATTTCTTGTTAATATTTCACTTGCATGTATCAAGTCTTTTTATTTCTTTTTCACTTTGGGCAGAACACTTTAATAACATGAGGAAGTCAGTGAAAATCTGGATAATATTGAAATACCTATTCCCATTACATAACTTTATATCTGCAGTTGAGCTGGTGAATATACAATCCATTCTGATAGACTGATATTATTATTACATGTACTGCTGTAATTGACTTCACTATAAAATCCAGATGTAAACCAAAAGAGACAGGCTTGAGATATTCTTTTTTTTTTTTTTACAGTTTAGTATTTTTGACTTACAATTTACAGTCATACAGTTACGCAGTAATATAGGCAGAAAATTACTTCACTTCAGCTTTTCACATATCCAGATTTTTGCTGTTAATCCAAAAGAAGGTGAAAAAACCACCCTGAAATTTTTTTCAGTATTATGCCAAATTGAGGTAAAGGATCTTCTGGACTTCAAAATGACAGTCAGATGTTTCATTGGTATGTTACTACTCATTAGCTAAGATAACCTTAAATATTCTGGTCCCACTCTAAAAAAAAATCTCATTGCCAGATATTCTTAATTTTCTGTTCAATCAATGTCCCAATGTATGGTTGAAGATCATTGGGTGAGGAAAGTGTTCTAAATTAAGCATTCCACTTTAAATGAGACTATGCACTTTTTCATATATTTGCAAATATTAAGGACCACTTTAATCACATTTTTACTACTCATGTTTCATTTAAACATTTATGAATCTTTATATTTTTTTTATATATTTGAATTATGTATATGTAGTGGTTTTTTTTGTTTTGTTTTTTAATCTTTTTTTTTTTTTTTAAATACGGTAGGTTAAAAAAAAAATCTACAAACTTTCTCTGGCAGTGCAGCCATGTTGGATCATATAATTGTCTGTTGTTAGACCAACTGCCGCTCTTCTGAACTTGCTAGCAGTAGTTGGTCAGATAAACAGTGGAATCTGAACATACAAAATTAAGCCCTGCACTCAAACTCCCACTACTCCTGGGCAGCCGCAATGACTATAATACACATTTAAATAACTGGAGGCTTTTAGTATCACTCCTTAAATAGTCATTGGGGTGATACTAAAAAAAAAAAACTTCCTGTTATTTAAATGTGCATGGGGATTTTGAATAGCGCGCAAGTAACATTTTTTTTTTTTTTCTGGTTAAAAAGTCGAATCTTTCCAAGATGGTTGCTCAGTCATATAACAAAAACTACATTCTTTTAAAAAAAAAAAAAATCAACAATACACCTTAATTAAATATAAAAATAAGTTATTAAATTTAATAATTTTTTTTTATTTTTTTATTTTTAAATGAACTGAAACAGTTGTCCTTTAATGAAACAATTCCTTTATGCCCTTGGCTCTATGTATTTACCTTTTTTTTACCTTTTTTTTTTTTAAGTTTATTAAATGGTCTTTCATATTTCAAATAACAGTACATTTTACTGGCACACGTAAATTTCGTGACAAGCAGAGTACAAAATAAAATAAGTTTAAATAATCCTTCCTCCTTACCCTATATAAATCGCGTACTCCAATACCTCTACAGTAAATAGAAAGAAAACACTGAGCCCAATTCAAATGCAAAAATATAAATGTATTATCGAATAACTGGAGAGAACCAGCACTGCCACTATATTAAGAAAAAAATAATTCACAGTAAAGTAAAACTTCTGGTTTTCTGTCATATAGTGGCAGTACTTACCGGGGGAATATAGCAAGTTTCCAAAGGCAACAAAAATGGTGGTTCATTATGAAATAGCCTGGAGCATCTAATGCCCAAAAGCTTCTGAGGAAGAGAAGATGTCTAGCCTATACTGCTTGATGCATATGTTGAAAGAAGACCAAGTCGCTGCCTTGCATATGTGTTCTGGTGAAGCATCTGACCTTTCAGCCCAGGAAGTGCCCATCACCCTTGTGTAAGAACTTTAACCAGAAAAGGAACGTAAGACCACGAACTTCGTATGCCAATTTGATGGAATCGGTAAGCCATCTAGCAATGGTAGGTTTCGAAGTTTTCTTTCCAAGCCGGTTTTCTTGAAAGTTACTGAAGAGATGATCCAATTATCTGAATTCAGCAGAACGGACAAGGTAAATTCATACGGTGCTATCTATTTCCAGAAGGTGCTATCTATTTCTTTTCTTGACCAGATGAGGCGGAACTGCAAAAAGACGGCAGATGATTAATTGATCATTTGGATAAAACCTTAGGCAAAAAGGATGGTTTCAGGTGAAGGATAACTTTTGTCCTGATGTAAAATGGTGAATTCATCTGAAGAAGATAGAGCCTGAATTTCTCCAATTTTGTAATTGTAATGCCCACCAGAAACCGTCTTGAGAGAGATGCTTAAGTGAAACTTCCTCCAAGGGTTCAGATGAGAATCACAAAATGCATGAAGTACAAAGACAAATCACAGATAGAAAAGGAGATTTGCAAGGAGGCCGTGTACGAAGAATAGATTTGAAAAATCTTCTATTCAGAACATTGGAGGCTAAATCCTAAATGAGAAAAGGCCTGAGACGTAAAGGTGCTTTTTTCTTTACATTTACACTCCAACCGCACCAATTCCAAATTTTGACAAAAAAAATAAAGTTCAGAAAAGCGCAATAGTGCATTTGGAACTTTGGTGAAACGCAAGGCATTTTTGGTCTGTGCACAGCAGTGGGAAGCATGCCCAAGTCTGCTTTGCAATAGGCGAGCCACTCAGGAATGCTTCCAGAGAATGCCGGAAATCGCACTCTGCATAAAAATGTGCACTTCACTCACTGGAGCAGTCTCTGTCGGCTCACTACCAAGGGAGCTCTCAGACGGGATACCCCTGGCAGCAATCTGTGTGCCTAACCAGAATGACAAATGCAGAGGTATTTGGCTTATATTGTCAGGATAAGGAGGAGTGATTATTTAAATGTATTTATTTTATTTTGCAGTCTGCTTATCCCGATAAGGAGTACGCACCCCACTGTATGCACTGCCACTATATGACAGGAAAAAAAAAAGATTTCTCAAAAGCTTCCCACTTAAACATTGGGCTGAGGAAGTGCATTGAAGAGAGGAACAATGCATTTGCTCATCCTAATAACTCAAAAATAGCCAAGTGATTTCAAATACAATTTGCGCAGGAAAAAACAAACCTCTACACATACATGTGTCTATTAAATAAGTAATCTTTCATATGAATTCAGTTGGCATTTTAATAGTTAAAGGAACATTCATGGCTGGCAGTGACACCCATTTTCTTAATGTATTATAAAGATAATGAATAGAAATATGTTTTTAAAAAACAAACAAAAACTTACTGAAAGATATTTGCCCATAAAACTTTAGCTTTGGCTATGTTGCTTTTTAATCTAGGAAAATAGAGCATGCACAGTATTGCAAAATGATGATACATGAAAAAATGACAAGTGTTGAAAAATATAAATAAAACTAGCTCTCACCAAGACAAAATGTAAACATGACATATGATAACCATGTATAGATAAAATGGTGATATTGATTTGTCAACTAATACAAATGTACATGGAAATCCAATATATAAACAGAAGAGTTATAGAGTAATAAAAAAAAAAATGTAAACACAATTTAATTAACTGTGCAATTGTCAAAAAGCACCCCACTATATATAGATAACATATAGATTATGGCAGAAAAGAAAAAAAAATCCTAAAATAAATAATAAAGTTCCTAAAGCTACTACATTCCCTGGACCAGGAAGAGGCTCTACTAATTGGGTGAATCTCATTCTGTCAATTAGATCTGATCTTATCCCATACACTCCTGTCCAGCAGGAGTTTCTCAGAATTATGACTGCCTGACTGAACTTTTTGGAGACTTTTATATAGCTGTAGAATATTTTACAAAGAACTGTAGTTCTAAGCCATACTCGGAGATGACAAAAAAGGAAAGGGTAATAGGCGCTCACTATAGTGAATTGTGAACAGGCAGCAGTATACAGAACAAGGATTCCCAAAACCTTGTGGATAGATAAAGAGAACAAAAAAGAAGGCGTATACCGCGCCTAATAATTTATATAAATACAAAATGTACGTACATATATTCCTAGGTATTTCCAATAGATCAAAACCTCGGAATAAAATGAAATAAAAATAATAGTGCAATACAGTAAACGTATATCGTGAAGTGGTGAATATAACTATACACAATCCACTCACATTTACATGAGCTATAACAGAGATCAACTGTGATGCGCTTGGACGGTACGATCCCCGTCTCAGGATATGTTCTAGTTGACACAGGTATTTCAAAGTGCAGTATGCGTAATATATGTAAAGAGAAATAGCAGCCAATGGTGAAGTAAGTACTTATGGTGAAATAAATAATGAATAGTAATGTACTTATAATTTATAGAGCATAAAACTTTCTCTAGTGTGAACAGCCTGGGTGGTATAATCCCCACCAGGGATATGCAGGATCCAGGAAGTAGCAAAAAGAATGAGTATAAAAAGTAACTAATAAAAGTATACTTTGATATAAACAAACATAGTAAAAAAACATAAAAGGTATGAAGGAGAGTCCCACTTAATGCGTTTTGCCTAATAAGGCTTCTTCAGAAATGTCTTCTTTTTTGTTCATTTTTGTCTTTTTTATACTCGGAGATGAGTTGGTGCACTGTAAACTTTCCTATGTTGCAAATTTGTTATGGTGCTTAAAAATAACTATTTCATTTAAGTTTAGGGCACTAAACTGACTGAATCCTCAAGTTTTAGCTATTTATCTTTTGGTCCTCTGTCTTCATTCCAGCTCAATACTATGTTTTGCGTGGCGTTGTTTGACTTGTGTAATTTATTTGTGGAGCCCTAAAGGGCTCATATCTAAATATCTTCTAAACTATAGCTTAACTCTTTCGTGTATAGGTTTTATTGTACTTTATCTACAATAGACATCACACTTTTAACTATCCGTGGTTGACATTTAACAATACCAGTGCACACAAGCATATTAACTTTGCCTTTTAATAGTTTGATTATTTCATGTTTGTTTTTTTATAAAAAAAATAATCTAGATCTTTTAAATCTCAGCAGTAATCTTGTGCTATTTGTGTTTTGCAGGACACTAAAGACACCCAGACCACTTAATCTCAATGAAGTGGTCTGGGTGCAGTGCCCTTGTCATTTTAAATCTGGAATGTAAAACATTGCTGTTTTTGTAGAATATGCAATGTTTTCATTGCAGAGTTAAAGGGACACTCCACTATCAAAATCAAAGATAAATAAAAAATCCCTGTAAATGTACCCAAGAGAAAACATTCATGTATTTAATAATGCTTTAAAAAAAAAAAAAAATTGGGGGTATATCTAAAACAGCTTGCGAAAGTTGCAGAACGTTTCTCTGAAGCTTTTGCAAGCACTTCCCTTCTAACCCCACCCAGATTTTATGTGGCTGTCCAATTTCAGTCTTCCCACTGCAGCTCAATGAGAAGTGTTTGCAAAGCAGGTGCTATGAGCAACTGCTGCCTCTTGAGTTTAGCTCCACTGAGCAAGTGACATTGTGAGGAAGTAACCGAACCAGTCTTTAGATTGACAGCCAGGTGAGTATAACAAGATTCATTTATAAAAGTGCCAATTTTTATTGAAATCAGCACTTTTGCTTAAGTGGAAAAAAAGAGGATACAGTCTTCACATGTAAAGCACTTCAGCAAGCTAAAGTACTTTAGGTGTCTGGAGTATTTATTTAAAACACCCCTCTGGTTGCTGTCTTCGAGCACCACCAGAGGGTGCTCACACTGCGGTAACAGTCATACTTTCTTGTTATTATTAGCATTTACATTTTGCTAACACATTCTCCAGCGCTTTATAATTCTAGGAGGGGGATATTTGCTAAGTATTTGATGTACAGCATATAACACGGGCTAGAGGAGGCCGTGATGTGACATTCAACTTTCTTACGCATTGTATGGGGATGTCAGATGTCTAATGCCAGGAAAATGACATGGTAGGCAAAGCAGGCTGGTGCATGGAGTGAGTCTTGGTATTGGAAAAATGGTGAGTCAAATGCTGGGGTTTATATATATATATATATATATATATATATATATATATTTTTTTTTTAAATATCTAAATAGGGAGTTGAACATTGGGTTTAGGAATACATGTTTTTATTGCTGACATTATAGTGTTCCATTAAGACATTAAATTTAAAGGGACACTATAGCACTGTACTGCTTCATCTTACTGGAGTGGTTATAGTTTCTGAACTCTCTGACAACATCCTTCTGTTCAGAGTTAAACTCAATATTGATGATCTCAGCCAAGGAGGTGCGGCGACAGGACGGATATTGGCATGGTGAGAGAATAAACTTTCTTTTGACTTTACAATTTTTTTTCTTTTTTTAACAAATAAAAATGCAACAAAGCATGAAAATCATTATACTTATAAAAAAATCACTAAACTGAAAGCAACCACGATTGACAGCAACAGAATTTTCAAATCTTGAAAGAAGATTTACGTAAACTATTAAAATGACAGCCCTAATATTTTGTATGGATATATTTAAATGATTTGTAGCTTATGTTGTTGACTATACAGGATTCAGGACAGCATATCTTATGTTCAAACTACGGACACTGTGCCACAATCAGTTATGCTGATTGCTCAAATTGTAATCAGCGTGATTGTTAATTAATAGCAGTGCCAGAAATAGTCAATTTCACAATAAACACAGCCTTGCATATTTTAGATGTTGCACAACTTTTTTTTTTTATAAACTTTTTTGGGATAATTAACTATCTAAATCTGTATCCGAATTTAAACCCTCTGGTTCCAATTTACCCAGCATATAGATCCAATAGACCTCTTTTGACTTAGTGTTTTTACTCTGGCACCATCTCTCCAGTGGGGTGGAACATGGTTTATATCCAGAAATATGACATTCTGGGGTCTAAAATCCGAACACAAGTGGTCAATGTAGTGGAAGAGTGTGTCGATTTCAATGTTTTCTAATATTATTCTGATGTTCCGAAATATGTGTCTCAAATTTTCTAATAGTAGGACCTACATATTGCTTCCCACATGGTCACTCTAGCAGATAAACAACATATCCGGATAAGCAATTTATTTGTTGTTTTATTATAAACTCCTGGCCAGTCTGATTACTCTTCAAACCTTTCATCCTATTATTTGATAAATAACAATATAACCTCATGAACCAAATTTTTTAAAACCAAATTCCTCTATGGGTTTATTCTCTGCGATATGCTAAGGAGCAATAGCATTTATTTATTTATTTTAAATCACTAGGTCTTGTAGTAGAAAAGGCCAGCGTTTCCTATAAATATATAGTAGTCACGTTTCTTAAAAGTTTTAACTTCTTGAATATTTTTTCATTTACATAATTGCTTGGGTATTAAAACGACATCTATTTCACTTTGAAAAGAATGGTATCACTCTGTTTAGAAAACGTGTGTGTGTGTATATATATATATATATATATATATATATATATATATATATATATTGTTGTTTTTTAATCCTCTTTTCACTTATTTCCAAAAGAAGCTCAGACCAATGGCTTTTGTTATAAATTTGTAATTAAGCTTTTCCAAAAGATTTTTAGAGGGTCTGAAAGGAGACATGGAGCTTTTGGGTATCCTAAATATTTAGGCATTAAGACAGAACTTTATGCCCCCCCACCTGAACTGGAATTAATACCAGGGTCTCTTATAGGAAATACATGTAGTTGATATTTATAGGAATCCTGTTACAGTGGCATTTTGAGTTCCTTTGAGACTATGCATTCCATCACAATTGGGCTCATTTGTGATGCCACCATCTGCTGTTTCCATAAGGGTTATTAAAAGGTGCTAGGTATTTCATTGTTCACAGGAATGATTGTTTGCTGCTACAAATCATGGGCCAAGCCATTTGACTTTATGTGCAAAGCAGAGAGTTATTTTATGTTACACAGATGTTTAAAGCAAAATTGGTTAAAACTATTTTAATCAAATCATTCCCTTTTAATCATTATAAAGTTTCAAGATTCTTGAATTAAAATTGGTATCTGAAACCCTCAGTCGTATAATTACCATGGGACTATATGAAAGACCTGGTTAAAATGGTTAACTGTGAAACATATTGTTACGTGTTTGAGTAGCAATGCATTAATAGATGCAGGTAATTAAAGTTTGATGGAAAAACTTACTTGTGTTGACCTAGAGCAAATTTCTCATGAATTGGATGACACAATTTTAATCTATGATGATGAACAGAAGTGCCTGAAACAAAACAACCATTTATTTTATCTAACCTTTCATTATTCGCTTCTCAAACTGGTCATAGAACCCAGCTATGTACTCCTCTACACCTTGGAGTGTCAGTACTATAAAAGTAAAACTAAGTTTGTATTGAACAATATAAATGTTCAATTGCATCATTCTAGAGTTTATTGTAATAGTGTTGGAGTTATTTTTTTGCATACTGTTACACTCTGTCATAAGCTTTGTTTAAAAAAAATCTTTATTATTGGACAATGATAAATACACATTCGTTGTGATTAACAGTAAGTACATTTTACTGCAATTTCTACATTATTGAACAGTAACAATCTGAGAACCTATTCATGTACATATGAATATACAGCATGTTGTACAATGGAGAGACCATAGGTATCTTGCTATAGTAGAATGCATACACAGAGAAAACAGAAATTAAAATATTAAGTATAGCAGAGAAAATAATGTTAAAGCAAGAAGAGAAATACAAGGGCTGTATGGGAGAGAGGCTTGGGCAGATGGATTAAAGGGCTGAAGGGGTGTACACCTAAGTTGTCCCAACCTTGTGAAAGGTAGTTGAAGTTTGATAGATGAGAGACGTCAAGATATCCATCTGCATATTGGGCAGGGGACTGTCCCTTTAGGAGCATTGACAAATACACACACAAAAATCACTCTTTAGTATGTATACCCCAAATGAATACATAGATTTCTTCATTGGGGTATATACTAAAACAGCTTGCAAAAGTTCCAGACCTCTTGGTAGCCTTAGCAAGCCCTCACATTCTTTCCTATCCATACTTTCTGTGACTGTCCAATCACAGACTTTGTAATGCAGCGCATTGGGAAGTCATTTCAAAACCCTTTTCTAAAAAGGTTATTTTTATAAAATTTCTAATGAAATCTGCATTCTTTGTAAAATGAAAAAAGGGCATAGTTGTCACACATAAAGCACTTGAAAAAGTAATCATTTAGGGTTCACATTAAAATAGGAGGAGAAGAAACATGGTCAGCTTTTTTTGTTTATGCCCTTTGGGCAGCTAATGCAGTTTTAAACAGTGTATTTTCTTAGAAAGTCACATTATAATGGTTTGGACTGGCTTGAAAAGATGGCTGAGAATGTTATTTTTAAATTTAAAATACCATAGTGGACACCCCCTTAGGTTTTCTGAAAAATATTAATAGATAAGCAATAACATTTCCTGGCTAATCGTGGCAGCATTTAACATATGGGTAGCTCCTCCCTCCAGCCAATAGGACAGGAATACTAATTAAAGACTTCAATTATCCCTGAGGTATAAGAGATCCCAGAAGGCTAGGTTCCTCAGTCTTTTTTTCCTGTCCTCCTAAGCCAGACAGGACACTTTGTATTTATTACAATTATTAATTTTTATTTTATGCTCACCTGGCTATGTATTTCAGCCTATTAATCCCTTAGAGGTCAGCCTCCCTCTATAGGAAGACCAGGCACATGCAACCCACCTCTTGGTAGCTGGGGACCCCTGGTAGCCAGAGGAGTTAGTGTTTCCTCCGGCATTCTGTGGAATCCTGCTGCTATGCCTGTCCCTGCAGGTGAAAAAACTCTTCATTCTGACGCCAGAATTCCATTCCAAGGTTCAGGACGCCCGCACATGCGCAGAGGTAAGAGGTCGCGAGTAGCCCTTAGTTCGCCACTAACAAAAATGGCGGCTTCGGGTGCTCGCGGCTGTTCGCGCATGCGCGATTAAAGGTACAGTATGTCCTTTGTATTTGAAGGGGAAAAAAGTGCGTTTTTTTTTGCCGCGGAATTCAAATCCTTCAGGGAAATACAATCTGCTCTCTGGGAAACAAGCCCTCTTACTCTGCAAGTATCCTTTTTAATATTCTTTGTTCTCTTGGAGGGTTTTTCTGTTAGAGCATTTTTCTTTTTCCCCTTTTTAGCCCAAAAATTGTGTTTTTCAAGGATGGATCACTCTCCCACTTCAGCTATGTCAGCGACCATAGGTGAGCATTATATTTTGTAACTTTTCACATAATTGTCCAAATAAAAAGAGTGCATTAGAGGGTACAGTCTCTTGACTTCTGTAATTACAGCCCTCAAGACCGGACAGGCCCTAGATCTCCTTCCAGGAGAAGGGATAAACCGGCTGCCTGCGTTGGATGTGGATCCAGGCCCTTGAACAATTGCAGACTGTGCAAAAAATGTCTTGCTAGAGCGGCAGGTGAAGCTGATTTCCAGCAACAACCACAAGCATCCACCTCAGCCCAGGATATAGCCTTGTGGATTAAGCAGGCTGTGGCAGAAGGTATTGCTGAATCACAAAAAGGCAAACGTCCCAGATGTGAATATCCCCAGGTGAATATTGATTCTTCAGATGAAGATTTCGGACAAGATTCAGGTTCAGTAGACCTTGAACAGATGTCTTCTAGTGATGAAGAATACTCCTGCCTCCTTGACTCTAAAGCAATAGAGCGTTTGATCTCTTTGGTGAGAAGAACACTAGAACTACCTGAAGAGGTGTTGGAAACCTCAGCAGCGGACAAACACTTTGGGGACCTCAGTAAAAGAAAACCTTCTTTTCCGGTTCACAGGTTCATCAAGGATCTCATAAGTAATGAATGGAAGACTCCAGAAAAGAGACTTTAACTGCAGAACCGTCTGCCTAAGTTATACCCCATCCGTGAAGTGGACTCCAGGCTTTGGACTTCCAATCCGAAGGTTGATGCCTCAGTTATCAAGGTAGCCAAACGTTCTATCCTCCCGATAGACTGCAATGCTTCCCTGAGAGATCCTATGGAGAAACGAATAGATGCGGACATTTCTAAATGTTTCTTGGCAGCTGGTACAGGATGTCACCCAGCGGTCTCTATTTCAGCTATGTCCAGAGCTATGAGAGTATGGATCCTGGACATAGAAGAAGATTTAGACAAAGATGTCAAAAGGCAACATATTGCTGATTCCCTAAGGGAAATTAGACTGGCCAGTGAATGGCTCATAGAAGCCTCTACGGATATAATTAAGGTTATGTCAAAGGTTATGGCTTTCTCAGTGGCAGCCAGATATGCCTTATGGCTCAGATCGTGGGGGGCTGATATGGCCTCAAAGCATAACTTATGTTCCCTTCCTTTTTTGGGAGAATTATTGTTTGGAAAACCTCTTGAAGATGCCATTAAAAGAGCCCTGGGTGTGAAGCAGGTCCTGCTTCCACAGGATAGACATCCAAGAAGACCTCCACTAGAACGTCGCTCTTATAGAGAGCACCCTTCCTATAGAGACAGTAAGGCTTATAGACCAGGCCGTGAATACTACAGACCTACCTCCTGGAGAAGTGGTCAAACCAGCAAGTCCACCAGAGGTAAACCTAATACCTCTTCCTTTCGTCCTTCCAAGTAGTTCTGAAGGTTACTACGCCCAATCGCCTTTGGTAGGAGGAAGACTTTTACATTTCCAAAGGGTTTGGGCAGAGATCCCAGACAATTGGGTGAGAGCTATAATTACGGAGGGCTACTCTCTAGAATTTATGGACATTACCCGAGCAAGATTCATAAGGACCAGCGTTCCCTTGGATTCGATAAAAAGAGACGCTCTGATCCAGTACACTGGAGATCTCATAGACAACAGGTGATTGTTCCTGTTCCAGTAAGTCAAAGGTTTCAGGGTTTCTACTCCCCTCTATTTCTGGTCAAGAAACCCGGAGGAAAATGGAGACCCATTCTGGATTTGCATCTACTCAATATCCATTTGAGAATAAAAAAATTCAGGATGGAATCTCTTCGCTCTATCATACCGGCAGTTCACCAAGGAAATTGGCTAATCTCAGTAGATCTGAAAGACGCTTACTTCCATGTCCCGATAGCCCTTCATCACCAAAGGTTCCTCGGATTTTGTGTAGACGATCAACATTTCCAGTTCCAGGCTTTACCGTTCGGAATCAGTACAGCACCAAGGACCTTCTCAAAGATACTGGTGACGGTGATTGCATTGCTCAGAAAGAAGGGAATAACAATATTCCATTACCTAGACGATATCCTGGTAGTTGCTCAAACATACAAGGATTTACTGAATCATCGAATTATGGTACTCAGGACACTAGAGCGCTTTGGCTGGCTAATCAACTACCAGAAGAGTCAACTTCGGCCTGCCAGAAGGCTGGTATTCCTGGGAGCACAATTCGACACCGCTTCAGCAGTAGTGTCTCTGTCCCACGACAGAAAACTAAACATATATTCACGCATTTGAGAATTTCAGATTCAAGAAGTAACTACAGCAAGAAGGACTATGAAAGGCTCCCTTTCCTCCACAATCGGCCTAGTGAGATGGGCTCAGTGGAACCTCCGCCCTTTGCAAGAATACTTCCTGCAGACGTTCGACTCGACCTCCCAGAAATGGGAGATGAAGATGTCCATTCCGGATCATATAAAAAGATCCCTCAACTGGTGGCTTTCCTGGGAAAACCTATCCAAGGGTTTCCCTCTGAAGGAGGTGGACTGGATGATCATCACCATGGATGCCAGTCAAGATGGTTGGGGTGCACATCTGAAGGACCACTTTGTCCAGGAACTATGGCCCCTGCACACAAGACAACTTCCTTCCAATATAAGGGAGTTAAGAGCAGCCTTTTTGGCTCTTCTACATTTCAAAGATCTCATTCAGCATCAATGGGTGAAACGGAGAATAGACAACAGGGCGGCAGTAGCATACATCAACCATCAGGGTGGTACCAGGAGCGGCGCACTAATGAAGGAAATCAAGCCAATCATGATTTGGGCTCAAAAGAATGTAGCCGGTCTCTCGGCCTTATACCTTCCTGGGAAGGAGAATACGATTGCGGATTTCCTGAGCAGACATCAAGTGAAAGAAACAGAGTGGAAGCTATCCAGCTTGATCTTCCAACAACTAGTAAGGATGTGGGGTCTCCCACAGGTGGATTTAATGGCCACTGTTTAGAATACTCATCTTCCATGCTTCATGTCAAGGAGATTTCACCCACTAGCATATGCCCAGGACGCCCTTTCTTCAAGATTGCCATTTCAGCTGGCATATGTGTTCCCTCCGATCAAACTAATTCCCGCCCTTCTGAATAAAATCTCCAAG